GTGGCCTGGGGCATGTGTGGAGACGGGCAGCAGGAGACAGCCGGAGGGCTCTGTGGAGGTTAGCTCTAGCCACTCAGAGTCTGCCCCTCATCCTCCCCATTGCAGTTATAAAACCCAGGAAATGCATGTGGATCCGAGGCCCCCCAAGCTGTGGCTCGGTGCGGTGACCTGCTCGCTGCATTATGTAACTCCCATTTGTTCTTGGCCTTGGATGCGGTTTCCATTGAAGCCACTCACCACGCCGACTCCATGACATTTCCTTTCGCCTTATTCAGAGGCAGTGGTGGCGGCAGCATAAACTGCTCTGTGACTTCAGAGACTAGAGATCGGTGGTGTAGATGCTTTTAGCAATTCACCTCTTTAATCCACCGGTCCTGTGTTCTCCGAACCACGGCGAGCTCCACCCATCAGCAAAGGACCCCTGGGCTCCAGGCTACCTTGGTGGGGGGGTGAGAGGAGCCCCCCCTCACCCATGGAGGAAAAGGCCAAGGAGGGGAAAGCAGGCTGGGAGACTCCAGGGCAGCCAAGTGCAATGCACTGTCAGTCAGGAGCTGGAAGCCGATGCCCACGGCTGAGTATCGGCCACTGTGGCCCCAGCTTGCTTGTCAGTGCACAGAAACAGGGTCCCTTATCTCACCTGCAGTGCTGCTTGCCCCCCCGCCCACCCTCCTTGGTCTGACTGGGCCTGCCAAGCTGGGGTCGCAGTGAGAAAGAGATGAGACACTGGCAGTTTTGGGAATTACACCTGCAAGGTCAGCATCAACATGGCGCCACCTTGTGATCAAGAGGGAGAACAACCAGGGCCCTCCCTAGCAGAGGCTTCCCTCTGCCGGCCCTTTTCCTCTGGGTTTGCCGCTGGTGGTGTGTGTCGGGGAGAGATGGGGGTGTGTGTGGGTGCAGGATCCTCCCTCATTTGGCTTCAGCACTCAGCCCTGACCCCCTGGAGAGCCGCTCTGATGCCATCCCCACAAACTTTGGAGACAATTCCTAAGGAAAAGGGAGGCATGGGCGCCAGCAGCCCAGCGGCGTCTCTTCCCAGCTTCCTCCCCTTCATGGAGATGATGACTGGAGGACCAACTGGTGCGTCACACAGAGCAGCTTGTGCCAGGTGTGGCAGGCCACCTGAGGTCCCTCCACATGACCTCGAGGAGCTGGTTAGCATCAAGCCACCAGCACTCAGGACTGATGGCTCACGGGGGTGGGGGTAGCAGCTTGGGGGCGCAGGCAAGCCAAGTCCCCCGACGACTTGAGGAGAGCTGTCACCTGCAGTCACAACAATGCAGCTGCTACGGGGGTGGGGTGGTCGGCTAGACCCTCAACAGGGCAAGCCCGGGGCACCCCCCCCCCCGGGAACCATGCACCCAGTCTCTCCTCATCTCCAGGCTGTTCAGGAAGGGCAAAGCTGGAGATGCAGGAGTGAGCAGGCAGGCGACTTCCACTCCTGGGCCTTGGTGACCGTTAGGGAGGGAGAGAGCTTGCTTCTGCACACACTGCCAGGGCAAACATTGCAAATGCCCCGCTGGCTTCAGCACACTCCCAGAAATCACTGACGCTGGCCTGGCCCAAGCCAGAGGTGAGGCCGAGCAAGCGTGGGGGGAGAGGCTGCCAGGAGTCCAGGTGTGGGCGAGGGAAGGACCAGGACCCATCCTCTTTAGAGGGAAGACTCCAGGACTAACAGTACTGCAAACGAGGAAACCCGCGTTTAGCAAAGACCACCCAAACCTCAACACATGGAATTTCACATCCTTGCTTTACAGGAGGAATGCTACGCTTCTCAACCATGTGGAAAGCACTCACCTCCCTCCTGGCCGTCTGTCATCAATTCATCCTATTGTACATCTCATGTCCATATTTTATTCAGCTCTTTATGTGTTTGCTGCCCATTTGTATGTAGCAACTGTGAGTCTAATTATTGCTATAAAGCATCATGAGCACCAGTTACTGGGAAAAGGTTCTGATGGTATCTAAAACACGAAAAACCATGAGAGCATAGCCTTGTCAAGTGAATACCGGTTACCCAGAGATGACACATTCCCTGTAAGCTTTAAGCAGCACTAAGTTCAAAGCACCCTAACCTTCGACTCCATGAATCAAAGAGGAAAGACTGCCGGGCTAAGCCCGGGTGAACTGCTGGCAGGTCACCATGAGCAGGATGCAGTTGGCTAAGAATGAAGCAGCTTTGTGAGTGCAGCTGGGCAGCTCCTGATTTCTCCAGAAGGAGATGTTACCGATGGGAGGAGAAGAGTCACCTACCAGGGAAACTGTTCTTCCAGTACACCAGGAGAGCTCAATGCTCCTCAGATAAGAAGGAAGAAAGAAAGAAAGAAAAAATCTGCAAATAGATCCGGGGAGATTGCACCATCCTGCCCTCTCCTGGCCTAGTTGAGAACTACAGCTTCTAAGTGCTGCTGCTGTGCCTGGGGCGGGGGTTCATCTGCGCTCTGGTGGTGGGGCTTGAATCAAATCCAAAATCCTTCCTGTGGGTGGGAGCCACTGTTCAGCTTGCATGTTGCTAGCAGCAAGGAGCTAAATTATCTGCCTTCTTATGTGTAGTGCTGTTCTGATAAAATAATGGGAATTTAAAAAATTTAAAACATTAAAAAAATTTATATTTATTGCAAAGTCAGATATATAGGGAGGAGGAGAGACAGAGAAGATCTTCCATCTGTTGATTTGCTCCCCAAGTGAGGGCAATGGCTTGAGCTATGCCAATCTGAAGCTAGGAGTCCAGAACCTCCTCCAGGGACTTTAGCCACTAGGCTCCTGCACTGGGACCTAAATACATACATTTTAAGAGAGAAAGGGATTAGGGAAGTGGTCTAAAAAAGGCTAGGTCTAACTCTGTGGCTCCCACACAGGTGCAGGGTCCCAAGGCTTTGGGCTGTCCTCAACTGCTTTCCCAGGCCACAAGCAGGGAGCCGGATGGGAAGTGAAGCTGCCGGAACATGAACTGGCCCCCATATGGGATCCTGGTGCATGCAAGGTGAGGACTTTAGCCATTAGGCTACTGTGCCGGGTCCCAATAATGAGCATTTTGAATAATCAGGTGCCACCCATCTGTTACCTAGGCCTCATGCAAGATTTGTGCTGCCCAGGGCCTGCAGAGTTATTATTCACGTGGACACTGAAACCAGACAAATCAGAGTACAGTTACAGAGCCATGGAGTTAGACCTCGCCTTTTTAAGACCACTTCCCTAATTCCCTTCTCTCTCTCTCTTTTTTTTTTTTAAAGATTTATTTATTTTTTATTGGAAAGGCGGATATACAGAGAGGAGAGACAGAGAGGAAGATCTTCCGTCCAATGATTCACTCCCCAAGTGAGCGCAACGGCCGATGCTATGCCGATCCGAAGCCAGGAGCCTCTTCCGGCGCGGGTGCAGGGTCCCAAGGCTTTGGGCTGTCCTCGACTGCTTTCCCGGGCCACAAGCAGGGAGCTGGATGGAAAGAGGGGCCACCGGGATTAGAACCGGCGCCCGTATGGGATCCCGGGCGTGCAAGGCGAGGACCTTAACCACTGCACCACCGCGCAGGGCCCTCCCTTCTCTCTTAAAATGTATTTATTTAGGTTGCAGTGCAGTAGCCCAGCAGATAAAGTCCTTGCCTTGCACACGCCAGAATCTCATATGGCACCGGTTTGTATCCTAGCAGCCCTGCTTCCCATGCAGCTCCCTGCCTGTGGCCTGGGAAAAGCAGTCAAGGACGGCCCAAAGCCTTGGGACCCTGCACCCATGTGGGAAACCCGGAGGAAGCTCCTGGCTAGTGACTTCACAGTGGATCAGCTCTGGCTGTTGTGGCCGCTTGGGGAGTGAACCATCGGACAGAAGATCTTTCTGTCTCTCTTCCTCTCAGTATATCTGACTTTGCAATGAAAATTTTAAAATGTATTTATTTATATGAGGGGGTGTGGAGAGAGAACCAGAACAGAGAAAGACAGGGGCAGAGACACAGAGACAGACACTGCTTCATTTCCCGAGCAGCCACGGTTGCCAGGACTGGGCCAGGCCGACACCAGGAAGTCAGCACTCCATCCAGGTTTCCCACCTGAGCCATCGCTGCTGCTTCCCAGGTGTGTGTCTTCGCAGGTGGCTGTAAACAGGAGCAGGGCTGGGGTTGGAACCCGGGCACTCTGATCTGGGATGTGGACACCCCACGTAGCAGCTTAATTACTGAGCCAAACATCATCCCGACTCAGGAGAAAACTCAGGTCCAAAGCCATAAGACCAGCATCCCAACCCTAAGCCACGGCTCCCGCTCAGGGCACCCTCAGACGCCGCAGTCCGACCAGCATCTCCGAGGGTGACCTTTCATGTCTTGGGCGGCGGGTAGGTTCTGGGTGCTGTCTGCAAGCGTTCCCAGGGTCACTGTGTGTAGAGTCCAGCTCTCACACTGTGTAGCTCTGAAAAGAGGAGCCTGCTAACTGCTCAGTACTGATGCACTCTGAGAAGCCCCCTCTCACTAACAAGGCTGTGGCAGGCCGAGAAGGCTCGGGGAAGGGGGCAGAGGGTCCCACACGTCCAGGAATGACGGAGACTCGTAATGAGATTCTTGGGCACTCAGCCTCAGCAGATGACCACATCTGGTTCACATCATCAGCTCACACTCAGCCCGCTGCTGGGTCTCTCCCAAGCATGAGGATCACAGGCAAGCACAGCGTGCTCCCAGATCAGCATGCCACCCCCTGCTACTGCTGGGGGACCTGGCCGCAGCACGTCCAGCAGGGCGTGAGGGTGTCACTCAGCACTGCCACGTTCCGGAAGGCCTTCTGCCCGCTGCTCAGACCGCATCTCAACAGTGAGCTGAGCAGACCAGGGAGCACTCCACACCACCGACCTGCAGCCAGCACCGCCTGGCAACGGCCTGACTCCCATTGCTGCCCGGACGAGGCAGGACACCCAGGCTGTTCCAATGGGCACCAAGCTGTGACCCCTTCTCTCCCCGCCCAACACCTCACCCAGGGGAGGTAAGAACACACACACTGGACCTCAGACATGTTTCATATACATATTTATATATTTTTTCATATACAAAGTTACATTCCGAACCCCAGGGATTCCATAATAGAAATAAATACTGAAATAACTACATTGCTAAGTGAGCTGCTTTGCTCACAGCAAGGAAGCCTCAACCTCTTAAGAGAAAACTCTGAAATCCAATTTTACAGAGGCAGGCAAAGTTGTCGATAAAATGTCTAGGACAAAAACAAATGGAGAACATAAGATGATTAAAATATATTCAAATATCAAGAAGTAGATGACAAAATTACTATTAAATCAAAAGAGAAAGAAAGACATTTAGTGTTACAGAATAGCATGACCCTGTTAGAAAAGCATTGATGATTTCCGTATCGAATGTCCTCTGCGCCTCCCCGCAAGGAGGCCCTGTGCCGACAGCACCCACGCAGGCTGTCCAGCTGGGTCCTTTGGTAGCGACCATAATACTCAGACGGAAATCAAGAGTCAGTTCCACGGCATGTGAGGCCAGCTGACGCCAGGACACAGCTTGTCTTGCTTCGTGCTAGGACAGCCTAAGCTGAAGGGTCTGTCTGCGGACACGGGACACCCTTTACAGGAAATGAGCAAGCCGCCAACCCAGAGAATGCGCGGTAACCTTTTCTATGCAAACACACTTCATCTGAAAAGTTATGTGCTGCATATTTTGTGCTCAAAATGTTTTGCATTCTCAACTAGCTGCAGCTATTAAAAGATTCATTTCTATTTTAAAAACTTAGATACACGCCAGCTACAGAAAAACACTCTCCAAACAGTTCCTGGAGACTGTTCTCCCTTTGCTTTGGGCTGGGACGGATCAGACGGACTGCTGCTCGTGCCCTCGGCCGTGTTCAGACTGGCGTGTTCACAGCTTCCCCCTCGCGAAGACCGCAAGCGCAGCAACGTGCGTATCCTTCTGCGGATGGGGTGGGTGGGGGACTTCCCTTAGGAGAAGCCCACCCCGAAGGCCATGGGCCTACGAGGGACAGGGGGACGTGAGGCACACAGTCTGACGCTGTGACATTTTCTCCCACAGGCTGCCATTCTCACCAGCGTGAGCAGTGCAAGAATTTAAGCTGGTTGTAACTGGGCAAAGGAGAAGGGAAGCAATGCGTAGAAAATAGTTAACTGCAGTGACCAACACAAGGATGAGTCTTTAGTGAACTGTGCAGGCCTCTCCGTCCTGACTCCAGCCCCTGAAGCTAACCAACAGGGCCACAGATGACCGGACCACTTCAGATAGAAAAAGCTCCACCCATACTCCCCAAGCTAAAGCCAGGAAGTTTAAAGGGAACAATGACAGCCATCATGATACACCTGCCCTTTCACCTGTAACTCCTGAATTCCTAAGTTACATTTGGTCACATAAAAATGTAAAAGGCTGTCTGCTTCTTGGGATTCAAATCCCAAACCCTTTGGTGTCTCTTTCTTGTGATTTTTATGCAACATTTCCAACAAAGGTTTAATCATGGCATTTTTTAGGTGTCACCAAAAATGGTTTAGAGTTTAAATAAAATAAAACAAAAACATAGCTAATAAGCTATGGAGAGATGATCCAGGTGCTGATGCCTTGGGGACAGTGGCCAGGTCGCTCAAGCAAAAAACTGGCCTTTTGATACAGTTCCTCTTTTTCTAAAACATAGTGACCACATTTTTACTGTGCACAAAATATGCCTAAAGACACACGGGGCCTCCTCTGGCTCATTAAATCCCATGTGTGTATACTTCCAATGAGGTGTGTCGCTGGCATACTTTTTACAAGTACATTTGTATGGCAGTTTAGGGAAAAAAAAACCGAAAAAACCACCTCCCTAGTACTTGAGAATGCCCAGACAACTTGAAACGTGTGTTTCTAATGACTGTGGGTCTCTTATCTATTAGGTTTATATTTTTTAAAACTATCATAGTTTTAGTTAGAACAATGGGTAAGGGATAGTAAATCACACATTCTCAAGAAGCCGAAGAGGTAAAAACAAAACAAAACTGCAGTATAATGCTTCTTAACATCTCAATTAAACAAATAACAACAACGCCAACAAAAAACAAGTTAAAAAACTGGACTTATCATTTTTTCCCCCCAAATGAGCAGTATGAGTGAAAGGCTGTTAGCTCCGCCTGTGCAGCATCCTGACTCTGTCTCCAGCCCTTTACAGACGCTCCCTTTGAAGATGACGTGTTAAGGTCAAAAGGCTGCAAAAGCTTGCAGGTGTCATTTACATACAAAATACCAAGCACTGGCTCTTCTGCAATTTTATACAGAACAAAAGAGAATGAGTTTTTAATACCAAAGCCGTGACTCAGTTGGCCAGCTCAGATCCCTCGCTACAGCTCTGACAGGTCAGAGCCGGAACACTGGGCAAGCAGGAGACTTTCTCACATGGAAATAACTCAGTCGACCACCACCACCTTCAGGTACGAGAAACACAAAACACAGTTTCCTTTAAAAAAAAAAAAAAAAAGATCCTCCCAGGGCTGACGTGTCTTCTAACTTCCCAGAGCATCTTGGAACCTCCTGGATATGGCAGGATGAAAATGCGTGAGACTGGTCTCACAAAACCAAACAAAATAAGTCAGAGAAGCAGGCCTCGTAAACTTTAGAGCTCTAGTAAGTCAGAAACAGGAAACTTTTATTTAAATAGTGTAGTCTTAGTTTCTTTAATATAAAACCCCCCCAAATCTGATGAAAACAAAGTCTTATATACCATATAAACAGGATTTGTCATATTTGAAAGTGAAAGTGAAAGTAAGTTACAGTTATCTTTTTGCCCTCTTGGGACATTTAGATAAATCCTGATGATCCACCTGATATTAGTGTGTGTCAATTATAATACATCAGGGCAAACCTTGCTATTGTACTTAATGGTACAGTTTCATTTATCAAGTGTTTTCCATTAATTCCGTTATTAGTGACAGCTAAAATGTTACCCCATCAAACGAAGCGACATTAAACTGTGGTAGACCTGACCACACTTGGATTGCTTTCTCTGTCACCAGTTTACTCAAAGTAAACGTTCTCTGACGTGTGCACAGCCTACTGCGGTCACCTCTAACACTGGTGCAGTCAGCGCCAGCTCCTCTGTGCTGTTACGGCAGGACAGATCTGTAATACAGTTAACGGGGAACGATGCTCGCGCATACGGTGAAACTTATTAAAAAAAAAAAGAGCATTAAATAAAAGGGAGAGGGGAATGAAACCATGCAGGAGAGGCGGCGCTCCAGTCTCCACCTGTTTCCTGTGGGCTCACTCGCTGCCATACATCACTTGCCACACTATCAAGTGACTCCTCTCTGCTCTGGTGACGGAAGGCTCAAGTGGAAGATCCTCTCCGAGAAGTTCTGATTCTCCACCTTCATCACCTAGGGGACAAGAAGACCCCAGTTAGGCTACGCTGACGTCAGTCAAACACAGCGCCTGGGGGCAGGCCATGAACAAGCTGTACCACTGAGAACACAGCAAAGGAAATGTCATGACTGCTGCCCACGAGAGGCACCGAACCACTGTCTGACTTTTAAGAAGGCTAGAGGCTGATTTGTCTTGCAGGTTACGAACACAGCAGTGAGTTCACTACACCACATTGAAAAGTCATCCTGACATATTTGTATACTGACGTTAATAGAAATGGATGCTGATGGGAGGAGAGAATCAAGATGGTGGAATAGGGTAATGGTATCAGGGAAATCATTTTAAAAATTTGGATTATAAAACCAAGTTATGCATTTTTCAGTAAACATGGAACTTACATGAAATGCAGAGGAAAAACTCACCCAGATAATGACATTTTGATGTATTTTCTTTTAGTGCTTTTTGAAGGCAGGGATATATTTGTGTAGAAATGCACAAAGATTTATACAGTTGAAAGGACTCTATAATGTATAAATTTTAATATAATCCCTGCATAATCCATGCCATTAAATATTTACAAATACTATTTTTAATGTCTGAAGAATATTTGTATTTACCATTCCTCATTTTATACACACGCTTTTGTCTTCATCACTATTAAATTCTTTAATTCTCATAAAAAAAATAGAAATGGATGCTGAGAAGGCAAAGTGTCTAATTCTGTAGTCACGAAAGTCGGACGGTCTCCTCGTGCTTACTATAAACTAAGGATTTAGAGCAGACCCAGCTAGCTCATGCTCGTTTTCATTCATAGAAGCACAAGTCTCCAGAGAGAAGTGACACAGCATCGAGGAGTGACACAAGCATCAGAAGGTGGAGGCATCACCTCCGACAGGGATTTGTTTTTTTCTAACCATCTTCAAGTAAAAGACAGGTTATGCACTAACTATGCTAGTGGAAAGGAGGCAAGAGGGAGGCCGGCGTGCTGGCGAGGCTGCAGGGTCTTCCGTGAGCAGCTGAGTGATGTGGGGGAGTCCGGCTCAGAGCCCAGCGCAGCCTACACAGGCACACGACACTGCTCTCCACAAGCTCCCACCACATTGGTTTGCACAACAGAGCTATTTTGGTGCAGATCGGGGACAACCTATCTAGTGGGAAGAATTCAGCAGAATCCTAAAAACATACATAGCAAGGGACAAAGGCATTCTACTGATCTACTGGATCAACTGCAGCTGGACACACAAAAAACACTGAATAGAAATAGAAAATAAAAACCCTAAGGATTCCCCATTTTCCTCTGCAGACCAAACTACTCTAACACTATGATAGGCCTTTCCACCATCACCTCAAACCACAGAGAGGAGTGTGTTCAGGACAAAATCTAATTACTAAATGTAAATATCATCAGGCTAGGGAAAAATGTTTAAAAAAAAAAAAAAAGAAAAAACTGGCCACACTCCTGGTAAGGGGTGTCGGTCAGCCAGCTGCCTGCTGTCAACCAAGACCCCAGGCTCGGATATGCTGAGCTTCAATAAACCATCCCTGTGCACCTGGATTTAAAACAACAACAACAAAAACTGCAATAATAAGTTGAAACAAAAGAGGACTGCAGGTTTCTTAGTTGTTTTGTTTTGAAGAGTCTATCCTATCTCCTAAGCTCTCTAAAATTCAAGTAAAGCATATAAAACACAGAGCTTTGGGATCATTTTCTATTCATTAAAATATTACAAGAAATGAAAATGAAAAGTGGGGCTTTAAAAAGATCAAACTCAATTTTTTACAAAAGCGTATTTATCATCACTATTAGCCTGTGCTTAAACAGTCCGGTTTCTAGGCTGGATTACCTAGAGATATTACCAAATGGTTAAGCAATTTCTATGCTATTTTCAGGATCTACGATGGAAAGAATTTTTAGTGGAAATGGAAAAACCACAGAGATTTTATTAGCATATTTCTTAGTATGGTTCCAACTGCCATACTGCACTCCAAGAAAAAGCCACAGAGACATTCCAGCCAAGCAGAGGCCATAAAATTCCTCTCTAAAAAAGAATCCTGCACCAACAGTCAATTGCATAAGTACTTTTTTGGTCACATCATAGGGATAAACTTCTTAACACATTTTTCAATAATATCTTTGCATCAGATATTCTGATTACACTGTGTGGCATTCCATTGATGTGACCCTAAGTTTTATTTTGCTTTTACACACTTCATAGCTAAAGCAAGATATTTATCACAGATCTACAGTATATTACATATCCTAAAGCTATCTTGTGTTTATGTTTGTGACTTTAAAGTTTATCTGTTTGAAAACTAAGACAATAGAGAGATATCTTCCATCTGCTGGTTTAGAAGGCTGCAACAGCCAGGTGTGGGTCAGGCCAAAGCCAGGAGCTAGGAATTCCACCCTGGAAGCCCAGAATAGGAGGCAGGGCCCAAGCACTCAGGCCATCTTGCACTGCTTTCCCTGGCACATGAGCACGAAGCTGCATCAGACTGGACCCGTGCGCTGATACAGAACAGTGGTTTTGCAAGTGGGCGGCTTAATCCACTATGTGAGTAGATTTCAGGCTACTCCAACAGCTCAGTTTATTTGTAGCAGATACACAATCATCTGTTTGCACGGTCCTGACAGTTTACACAGCTCTACCTCTTCCTTTCTCCCTTGAACATCTGCTTCTGCTCTTTCTAGTTCTTAAGCACTCTCTCTTTCCCCACATCCTATCAGCAATTTCCCCATCACACTTTTCGCCCTTCTGTTAGTACCTTTCTTGAAGTGGAGTAGCCAGGACATGAACCAGCGCCCATATGAGATCCCAGTGCTTGCAAGGTAAGGATTTAGCCATTGTGTTGGGCCCTCAGGTGTTAATTTTTAAATTCATCTCCCAATTTTTAATTGAATCTCCAGACCATCCTCCACACTGATCACAGATTCTCCATTTAAGCCTCGCTCAAAAGCTTTCCTTTGTTTACCAGATAAAATGTAAACCTCTTGCTCTGTTACATAAAGGCCTCCTTTCTGGACCAGAAATTTGTACTTTGTGCTACTCCAAGTTCCTATCATCTAAAACATGTTTTTTTTTGTTGTTTTTGGGTTTTTTTTCCCCCTTTTCCCCTTAGTTAAGGTGGCTTCATATTTCCAAAATTTTTTTGGTCAGTTATTCTCTCACCTTGGAACACCAGCCACTATACCTCCCAACTTAGAGACTGAGGATGAGAATGTCCACAGAATTATTTGGCCTGGCCCTGCAAGGGCTTGAAATTCAATATATCCACAGCAGGCTAATTTGTAAGCAGGCTAATTATATGTGGTCTGTGAATGATATGATAAATACCCAAATGGAATTTAGCAGAAAAAAATTCCTTACCCTTGGGCCCGGCGCGGTGGCGCAAGTGGTTAAAGGTCCTCGCCTTGCACGCCCGGGATCCCATATGGGTGCCGGTTCTAATCCCGGCAGCCCCGCTTCCCTTCCAGCTCCCTGCCTGTGGCCTGGGAAAGCAGTCGAGGACGGCCCAAAGCTTTGGGACCCTGCACCCGCGTGGGAGACCCGGAGGAGGCTCCTGGCTTCGGATCGGCATAGTATCGACCCGTTGCGCTCACTTGGGGAGTGAATCATCGGACGGAAGATCTTCCTCTCTGTCTCTCCTCTCTGTATATCTGCCTTTCCAATGAAAAAATAATAAAAATAAATCTTTAAAAAAAAAAAAAAAAGCAAAAAAAAAAAAAAAATTCCTTACCCTAGTTCAGACCAACGCTACCTCAAGTGCCACTTCTTGGCTTTCTTCGTTCTCAACTTAGGGAAGAACCGACTACCCCTAGCACAGCACTGCAGCCCTTAGGAACATATCTTTGTCAGAGGTCTGGCTCAAGGTCCTGGCTGACAAGCAGATAGTGAACACTCAAATACTGTCTGTAAGGTGACAAAAAATGAGCAAATAAAGTCACCGCTGACAAAAAGCACAACTTTATTGTTATTTCCCCATCTTGCAGGTGAGGAAATTGTCAAGGCTCTGGGCGGTTTGATGATTTCCCCACTGATTCCGAATGTATGCTCTCCACGGAAACTCAACATAGGACTGTTTTTCCAGTGCCTCCCCAAACAAATGCCCCAGTATGGAAGAAGAGAAATACAAGAGGAAACAAACAGAAAGAAAGAAATACAAAATCCTTTCCTAAATGAAGAGCCCAAGGAGAACTCTAGGACACCACGAGCCGAGTGGCTCGCTAGCTGTATGAGCGAGGGTCCACATCGCAGAGCAAGTGAGATGAGCTCTGGAACGACGACTTACCCATGCGGAAGTCAATGTAGCCCTCTCCTCCGCTGATGACAAGCATCGACTTCAAGGGCGTCTGACTGCCAGGCTCCTGCGCAGGTGGCCCTGCCTTGTCCCCCGTCAGATCTGTGCCGGAACTGCCACTCTGTGGACTGATGACTTGGCCTATTTTATACATGGAGCAGAAGTGATACGGTTACAGAAGCAGGCAGGAGAGATGGTTGTTCTCAGAATATTTTAACATTTTTCTGTACTTTTCATTTCATTTGGAGAGCACGAGCACCACCTTCACTCCACATGTGCACTCCCCAAAATGCCTGCTACAGAAGTCTGAAACTCCATCTGGGTCTACCATGTGGGGAGCAGGGACCCCCTCCACATACTGCCTGCCAGGGTGTGTATTGACAGGAAGTTGGAATTACAAGTGCAGGTAGAACTTGAACCCAAGCACTCTGATAGGGTGTGTGGGTACCGGATGTAGTGTCCTAACCAACGCACTGAAAGCCTACCCCTGATGATTCCTGAGAGTTAAAGAGCTAAGTAGATTTCAAAGTGCATCCAACCTAAGTACTGGGGATGCCGGAAGGTGCTGCACAATCAGGGGAAATTTTTATGAATGCTTCAAGGGCCGAATTTGAAAGTCTAAAGCAATTTGGCACCAAGAAAGAAGGGCTTCAAAACGAGATATGTCTAAAGATGCCTGATTCAAACTAGTTCCTGCATCTACTTCCCCTCCTGATCCGAGCTGAGGGACAGTGGAAAGACCTTCTGGGAGACTGGGGGAACGAGTGTGCCTGTATTTGTGCCAGAGAAGTCTTCAACAATTACTGCTAAATGCACTATTTCTTGGTTCTAAGGTAGCAATCTGAAGCATGAAATGGCATAGAAACTCTCAAATATTATCCATATTATGAACAAATGGACCGTCTCTATGGCATCCATCTCATGTTCAAAGCTTTGAGTGCGGAATATTTTTTTCCTTGCCAGAATTCCCTGCCCTTTGCTTAGTCTACACAGACCATGTCTCCAGGTGCTAGCGAAACAGTCACCACATCACGCAGCCTGAATTGCAAATGCATTTTTGCTGCATGTGACTAGGAGAGTTAGGGGTAGCCCCACAGGGCCCCACTCGTGAATTACTCAGTGCCGGCCGGGGAGAAAGCAAGCTTGCTCGGCAGAGCCTCGTCGGCCGCAGAAGGGCACACGGTACAACACTCATGGCAGTCAGAGTAGTTTCATCTTCAACAAGACTGCCAATTCCACTTCTAGATTGCCTTACACCGAAGGACTGTTCTTTGAAGTGGAAAAGGTGAAGGAATCCTGAAGTCCATCAGCAGAACAAAATGAAACACAGCACATTTCTTTACTGGGATGCGAGACTAGCAGGAATACGCCAGACTCTTAAGCATAAACACAGAGACTCTGGCATTTTACTTCTTTAAGAAATGCAAGAACAACACTATTACCATTTTTTCATCCCAAGATGACTATACAAATGTACAAATGTGTATGAGGCTTCAGGAAGCTCATTATCACATTGTTTAGAACAACTGACTCATTGGTTAGAGCACCATCTGACAGCCCCCTTCCTGTTCTATGTACATTTAATCTGGGAACTCTGTGGGAAAAACAAGTGTGAGTACCCACCACATCATGGGTGGGCTTCACACAATCAAAGGAAGACTGAGGAACCCCAAAGAAGAACAGTGTTGCCTGCAGGCCAGTACCAGCCCCTCCCCGTGACTCCAGCCCGCTGAGGTTCATGCGGATTTCTGACTCGCCAACCTTCACAATCATATGGGTCTACTGCTTAAAACTTGTCTCTACACACGCATACACACACACATACCTTCATTGGTTCTTTCTTGGGAAAACCCTAACACACTGAAATGGCACTGATTCTATATGCTATACTGGCCTGGTAAAGATAGATTTGAACTTTGTAGAACTCTTAAGCATGTCTCTTTATCAAGGAAAAGCCGCTTCCTGGAAGCCAGCAGCACCACTCTGGTTTTCTCCATGGACAGAACATTTCTCGCTGGATATCACCGCCATCACCTCTTGCCTGTATGGTGCATTTTCATTGGTTTATCACAAGTGAGGCAGGCAGCTAATAGTGACCATTTAAGGCAGAGGCAGGGGAGGGAGCCCAGAGCCAGGCTGCCAGGCCTCTAGTACAGCACTGCCGGAGGTGCCAGAGCATGCCCCACCTCCTCCTGCAGAGAGCCTCAGCCACAAGAGCCTCTTTCTTACAATTCCCTTCATTAGGCTGAGACAAATACCACTGCTTCCAGGAGATCTTCCTTCATATATCACGTTAAAACTATGTGTTGTTCTAGCATTTTGCATTAGACAGGACCGTGGAACTGACATAATGGAAGATAGCCAGTGACGTGGATCATCTCCACAGAATAATTCTAACTAACCTGGAACTGCCACAAAGAATTTGACAGCATCCCGGTGTCCATGGAAGCAGAGTTGTGCGTGGGCCATTGAGCAGTAGGGTATGAAAGTCCCTGGAGTCACTTTGTCGCTATTTTCATCACCATATACACGGATTACACTGCCAGGACGATTTCCTGGGGCTCCTGAGGTTTTGTTTGCTGCAAAAGAAAAAGAGCAAAAATTTTCTCCTAGAAAGCAATGATGATGCAGGAGGTTACTGGTTAATCCTTATGATATTATCTAAAAGCTATAGCCAGTCGAGGAGCAGCAATGCCAATTCAAGACAAAGCTGGAAGAGAGAGAGAGAGAGATAGCATGCTGGTTATATGTAAGGACTTCAGTAAATGGAGGAGGGGATTTTGCCAGTCTAGCAGTCCCTAAACTCATTATTTATACACATTTCAGTTAACAAAATAAGACAGACTTGCATCTTGGATGTGTCTGTCTTTTTAAACCCCATTTTAGAAAACTAACCTGTACATTAAATTGTATATTTTTCTAAAGCAAAAAGGCATTGCTTTTAAATACAGTCTTTTAAAACAGTTTATCTTCTGATTTCTCTGCTCCACTTCTCCTGCCCACCCCACCATGGTAAGAGGAGACTGGACAAAGCTGTGCTTCAAAGAACCCTGCCACTTCAACACAGCAGGTTTCATGCACCCCAGATTCCTGGCTGGCTGATTATTGCAAAGACCAGACTCACAAAACATCCCCATTCCATGGGCGAGGAAGTGAATGAAGGAAAGATGACTGGTAACAAGAGTAGATGGTGTAGATTAATAATAGTTTTAAGAGATGTTTCATGTTTTTATTCAAGGAAAAAAAAGTCTGAAAGAAAAGTTCAGCTGCAACAAAAGGTGATGAATAGACTGAAGCTGCTGAGCAGTCAGTAGCCATGTCACAGACATGGCCGGACACAACAGACGGACACCTGCTGCAAGGCAGTGGCTGCAGTGGAGGATACTGGAGAACATTCAAGAGGGTATTCTAGACAAGTGGGGACAGCCTCACAGTGGCTATCAGAAGCCAGGGGGAAGAGCTTGGGTCAGGATCTGCACTTACCCCTCAGCCCCAGTAAACGTCCCTGGTGGAGGATTACGGCTAAAGTGAGAGAGGAGGAAAGGGGATATGGAGAGGTGCATGACAGGGGGGAGAAGCATTACTGCGAGCCACCACTCCCAGCACCTTCTAGCTGGCTCCCTGCTGCTCCAAGTGCTAGCAAGCTTCAAGAGATGCAACCTGGCTCAACAGCACTGCCACTTAAAACTCCTAACAAGGACACAACAGAAACTGCTCAAAAAGACCGCTCCCATTTACCCTGAGTTTGGATTCTATATTTATAAAGCTACTGTAAGTGAATCTGGAATACTGAGGACTGAACGTGGCATACATCCTAAATGCTATAATTCATCTTTTACTTTTTTTTTTGCATGTTTTAAAAAATCCTGTTCAAATAACTATAATTAAAAGGGAACTTTGTCTTACAAAAAAATTGAGCCTTATGGATCCTGAAGTCTCTTAGGATATACTAAGAAATGGTCTCGGCATGTATTCATGCTGGGAGTAAGAGCATGGGTCCTCTAAGGGTTTCAGATGTACCCCTCCGGTCCCCCATCACACCCTCCCCACCCCTCCTGCCCCTGAAAAAAACGAAAGGTGAGCCCATGGTGTGCATTTAACACCTTCTCTTCAGACTCACGACATTGTTAACACAAACACACTTATTTCATGGGTGGCCAATGTCATGGAACATCATGAGAAACATACAACACAGATTTTATTCAATTAAACAATAAAACTTCATTCTTTTCCAAGAGAGGAGAGATAACTTATCTTGAGCAGAAGTAAAGGCTTGCTGATCTCCTGAGAAACGTTTCCACAATTTTTAAAGTCTCAAAAAAGACAAATACAACATCCTAAACTACTTGCCAGGGGGCTACAGAAAACTAGGATGAACGTTAGGTAGTGTTTCTGGATAATGGTGAAACAAAGCTGAAGAAAAACAGGCTTCAACCTTCACTTTGAAGGCTGTGATTGTTTTACTGAGGAAAAGAACTTCTCACAATGTAAGAATACTAATCCTAACACATGGAAACTCGGGAGTTTCACAAAACCCGGGAGTTCCACAAGTTTGAGCAGTAGAGCAAAGGAATAATAGCTAGATCTTGGCTTGAGTCTCTGTTATCACAGCTTTACCAACATCTAAACAATTCCTTCTATCTGAGTTCTGGACATAACCACTTCCCACAACTCCATCTATACTCTGTGACAGTGATCTTAAAATAGACTTACTTTCTGTCAATGGGATGGAGATAATGACACCGTTTCCTGTCCCCACCCACAAACGATTGCAAGACACCATAAGAGCTGTGATCCTCACGAAGGAGAAGCCCAGTTTCCCAGTACCTGTAAGAGGAGAGGGGAACACGTTACTGAGAAACTGAAGCAGATGCTGTTTTGACGCCACAGCCCTTACCACAGCTGGGCTAATGCAACAGTGAGGAGGTGCTGCCAGCGCTGGATGCACGAGTCCTTAGGTGCACAGGCCTTATCGCCTGACAATTCAGGGTCGGCAGGAAAAGAAAATTCTAAAAGTGGTCAGCATTACATTACCAAACAGAAGGGAAGTAGCTAGGAATGAAGGTGTATATGGATACATGACACAGCTACCAAATCAAACAAAAATACAAAACAAAACACAACCCCTTCCCCCCAACCCCCAGTCCTCATTAAACCAATTTACTGCACTGGTAAATCAATATCCTTTGACTTTATGAGCTAAAAAGAGATCTGGTTAATTTCATGCTCTGCATAGCTAAAAACAGTCTTTGTTAGCAAACCTATACTTTTCCCTTGTTTATATATTTAGGTTCTAAAGCAGTTTTAAAATTTTAGTATACCATATGTAAGTAATTTAGGGAGAACGGATTTAAGAGTCAGAAGATAAAGCAACACATTTAGGGCAAAATCACTACTTACAAGAATGGAGGGGCTGACCATGGAATCATAGCATTACAAGGAATCTTAAGTACCATGTAGTCTATGCTAACGGCCTTTAACCTACGGTCAAATACATCCCAGCATGTGTGGGTGTCTACGCATACCGGGTGTGTGTGTGGGGGGGCGGGAGAAGAGTGTCACATTAGCTATAATCAGATTCTATAATGGCAGGCACCCTGAAACGACCGGGGGAAAAAAAAGCCACTGATTGAGTTTAACCTTTCTTGAAATCAGTCATTATGACGCCCATGAGAGACATAAAGCATTAGGTTAGGTACTAAAGGACATGGCAGGGGACAGGACAGAGAAGACCCTATCCTTCCTCAGGCTCAGGGACAGTGAGGGAGAGACATAAACAACAATCTTAAAAGTTTAAAAAAAAAAAAAAGGCCATGAAGAAAAAATACAAGAGGAGCGAACGGGAGCTAACGGGAAGCTTCTCTTACATGTAGACTAGGGTCTGAAAGCTCAGGGCGAAGCGACCAAGGAGATGCCACCAGGCCGAGGACACTGACAGGGGAAGGAATGTGCTGTGTGGGCGGGGGAGCGAGCAAGGAGAGTGGTCCAGACCACAGCAGGTCCCCTGCTTGTCACCTCACCTAAAGGCAAGGGTGGAAGTGTGTCGAGGTGGGTACAGGGAGAGGAGAGAGCAAGCTCACAGCCAGCCAGGCGTTAAAGGCTGGTGACTTAGCTTAATGGGAATAGTGGGAGAGATAAACAAGCATTTAAATTAAGAGATATTTGCTGATAGGCGCAACGGTTCCGGTTCCGGTGATGGATCAGATGCAGAGAATAAGAAGAATCAGAAAAGACTGAGCTTCTGGCAAGAACCCTGAGGCAGAATGAGCGTGTGCCTGATCCTTTGAGCACCATGAGTTCAAGGGAACGTCTTCACTGGTTCTACCTAGGATTTCAGACCATGTAAAACCCAAACATCGACGAAACGCTGGAAGCTTACCTAGCATTTTGCTTACATAAGGCTCGATGTCCACATCCTGTAGATGCTGGTAAGTGTGTGCGTGATAGAGACGGAGAGTGGAATCCAAGCGAATGGACACCCACACGCCGTCGCCCACCCACGCGAGCTGCCGCACTTGGCTCTCCTTCCTGGGGTGTGCATCAAATGACTTCTAGAAGAGATTGTCCAACCAGAGAGTTGCTTCTGTTACGTGGCAGTTCATGTTTAAAAACTATGTTTATTTGCATAACAATTTAGCAGACGATTAAGACAATCTAAAGATGGTTTACTAAATGTGATTACTGACATGTAAATTATTGTCATCTTAGAATGCTAAAATAATCAGAAAATTCAAATGATGCTGAACTTCAGCAGTATACAGGATGTCAAAGTATGAAAGCAATCCTAGAGCACAATCCGTACTACATCCCAGAGCCTGACAAATGTTAATTTCAGAGTTCTGTGTTGTTTCATAGCAAAACATAAAAATCCTATTTCTAATTAAATGAAAAGGAACCCATATTGCTCTCTGTATATAAGAAACAAATGAAAAATAAACATCATATGGTTAATTTTGTGACTGCTTAGGAGAATTTGGAACAACAGAAAAAAATCTGCAACATAATTTTTTCTAAGCTTTTTGTTTGTTTTAGATGAAAGCTAGTGTGAATTTGTATAGGCTTGCTATTTTTTTTTTTACAAATTGTCTTGGCCGCTCCATTTCCCATCCAGCTCTCTGTTTATGGCCTGGGAAAGTAACAGAGGATGGCCCATGTCCCTGGGACCCTGCGCCCACGACGGAGACCCGGAAGAGGCTCCAGGCTCCAGAGCTCAGCCCTGGCCTCTGAAGCCATTTGGGGAGTGAACCAGTGGATAGAAGATACTTGTCTCTTCTTCACTCAGTAAATCTGCCTTTCTAATAAAAATAAATAAATCTTTAAAAAAATTCATGTATGAATTTTCTTCCATTTTATTATTGTTTATTTTAAATTACAAAACAAAAATTGTGAGGAAATGCTATAATGAATTCCCACACATCTCCCACCCCACTTCCCATTATTAACACTTGACATTAGAATTTTTTGTCTTGGACCACATCCAGCTTCTACTGTTTTTTAATTCATACCAATTTTATTTCTCTTATGCTTTCGAGCCTTCAATAACCAACATTCTGTGCTCAGATCAAGTTTTTGTTTGTTTTTACATTTTAGAATTTACATATAAGGGAGGACACATGGCATTTGCCTTTCTATGTCTGCCATATTTCACTCAACATGATGTCTTCCAGTTGTGTCCATTTTGTTGCAAATGATCAGATTTCATCATCATCATCATTATTATTTAAAGATTTATTTTTTATTGCAAAGTCAGATATACAGACAGGAAGATCTTCCATCTATTGATTCACTTCCCCCAGTGGCCGCAATGGCTAGAGCTGAACTTATCCGAAGCCAGGGGCCCAGAGCCTCTTCCGGGTCTCCCAAGTGGGTGCAGGGTCCCAAGGCTTTGGGCCGTCCTCGACCGCTTTCCCAGGCCACAGGCAGGGAGCTGGACGGGAAGTGGGGCTGCCGGGATCCTGCACATTCAAGGAGAGGACTTTAGCCACTAGGCTATTGCACTGGGCCCCATTATTATTAGTATTATTTACAGCTGAATAATACTCCATTTTACCCTTTCATCTGTTGACACACCTTCCCTGAGTGCTGGCTTCCTCTTTAAGAAAACGCATCAAAATTGAGTTGGCTAAAGTACCTCAGAAAGCTAAGTCATCCAAATGCATTAATGAACTTCCTAAAAACACACAGATGTAGAAAAAAATTTCTAGAAACTGAAAATCGCCATACATACAGTCTTAGAATATTAAAAATGAAAAGAGAGAGAAGAAATAAGGCTAACTTGCCTCTATCTTCATGGCCTTTGGCTGAACCACATAGATTTTGTTCCTATAGCCACACCAGACTTTGTCGTGCACCACAGTCATACAGCGAATGGAATGGTGAGGCCGGCCAAGGTCTAAGAGGTGATAGTTCGACAGGTCCCACTGTCCGTCTTTAAAACAAGAAACAGATTTCAGTTAAGCAACACCATTTTTCACTCAATTTCAACACAAGGAACACTGTACTTGGGCGTATAATTAAATGCACTGATGAAGCCCTCAGAGTTCCATTGGTACAAAGCCTTAGGCCCGCAGAGACTGGCTGCTGATTCAAACTGCAAAGCTCTAAGAGACCTAAAAGGTCACCTTGTGCAATGTACCAGTCAGGGGGATTCTCTTTCAAACACGCGCTCAGAAGCAGCAGCGTGGGCTGACAGGCTGAACAGCTTAGCTGCCAGCAGGAAAGTCTACATCCCATATTGCAGACAGAGAACTTCCATCTGTCTGCTCATGCTCAGCTTGGGCTGGGATGGGCCAAAGACACGGGTCTGCCACATGGGTGAGCAGGTGCCCAAGTTCCTGGAATACCATTCATTGCTTTCCCAGGTTCATTAGCAGGGCAGCTGGGACTTGAATCGGGACTCTAAAATGGATGTTGGCAACAGCTTGACCTGACGTGCTACATGCTGGCCCCTAGTTTCCAAAACCTTCCAAAGCCCTCCTATTTATGATGGAAAAATGAAGGCTTCCACATCACACCATACAACAGTACCATAAAGTGCTGAACTACTTCCTCCTTATGGTAAACACATTTACCATGAGGTAACATTTATCTCCACACAAGTACTCACTATTTACTGACATCATACTTTGCCAGTATTCGGTTTAAGCCTTAATTTGTTCTCCTACTCAATGTCTGTCTTCTTGAAAATGCACTGTGATGCAACAAGTTGGAATACATGTCATGCATTCAGAACTCACCAACTCCCCTGTGAAAGATGGCGAGAGTGCCGTCAGCCAGGGCCACTAACACAATTCCTTTCACATGTCTGCAAACAGGAAGAGACATTTTAGAACTCTCCATCTGGGACCACAGGAGGCACCACATGCTACCAACCCTGTTTTCAGTCTCTTAGAGGGCCACTCTGACCACATGAGAAGCCCACCCCAGAACTACATAGGTGTACTGCTCACTTCTGACAAAGTGCCAGCTGCCGACCACGTCAACAGTATGTGTAGGATCTGAGAGTGTCACCTGCTGGCCCAAGCTCCTCTCATCACAGTGGACACAGCCAGTCTACTGACCTCAGACATAAGACATACACCCTGAGAGTAACTAACAGTCAGCTCTATAGACATAAGGACAAACAGATGTTTTGGGGGAAAAAAAGATTTACTTGAAAGGCAGAGTCTCTCTCTCTCTCTCTCTCTCACACACACACACACACCCCACAGGAATGGTTGATTGATTAATTCTATCTGCTGGCTCACCCTCCCAGCAGAAGTACTAGCCCAGGCCAGTACTGGTACTACCATATGGGATAAAGGCATTCTAAGTGGTAACTTAACATGCTATACCACAATGTCAACCCCAAACTGATTTTCAATGGTCAGTGCAGAAAGACTATCAGGGCTCATGTTGAGGCTAGGGGGCTGGGCCACCACCTGATATTGGCAGCCCATGAATTCCGAACAGCCACAGCCCTTCCACTTCCGATCCAGCTCTCTGTTTAATGAGACTGGGAATGCAGTGGATGACAGCCCAAGTGCTTGGCCTCTGCCACCCTCAAGGGAGACCTGGATGGAGTTATAGGCTCTTGGCTTCAACGTGGACAACTTGGGCTGTTGCAATCATTTGGAGAAGGAACTAGCATTTAGAAGTTATCTTCTCTCACTTTGTCTCTTTCCCTATTTCTCTAACTCTAGCTTTCAGATAAATCTAAGTAACAACAGGATCCGTAAATGAAAGCCCTGATCAATATACTCACAAACTATAAATGACATTTTAAAACTATATAAATTAACAGATGTTGGTTCTCTCCTTAGTTGCAATCTGGCAAGTTTTCTTTTCTGTAAATTTCCTATTTCACTTTTCATTATTAAAGAGTTTTATTTTCATCCCACTTCTCTAGTTCTATAAAAAGAACTTAGAACAAATAAACTTGGGCACTGATTTAGTCATGGAAAGAGAGTATTTAAAAAAGATCACAGAAAAGCGATGTTAAAAGATAAGTTAATTCTGTTACAAAACAAGTACGGAACCCATAAACAATTTTTTAATAATACACATTTTTCATGCATTGCTACAGTGCAGGCGTGCATATTACCTTTAAGAGTCTTAATATCTGGTTTATATCAAAACACATGGTTTTAACAAGAAAGAATTTCAAAAATACTTACACAATACTGAGAATTGAATCTTTAAGCTTAATGGAATGGAGACATTTCCTCCACTGGGCTACAGATGAATGGACGTACAAACTGCAAGAGCAAAGCCAAGACTGGTCAGGCACGAGTACCCCAAGTTACTGCTTGTATTTAATAATGACCAAGAAGTTCACACAGCAGCAAACAATAGTGAAACAAGAATTTCAGACAAAAGTGCTGCACTTTGTGCAATGCTCAGAAAGCACACACGAGGAGGTAACAGCAGGCCTCAGGCAGTGACTAAGCTGCCTCGGTAAACAGACACACGCAGGCTGCAAAGGGCACAGTTTAGAACACCATCACTTCAAGCAATGCTGTCGCTTCATTTCAACTTGCTCCACACTTGGCTGAAGCACCTCAACTTTTTAAAAAAATTAGTTCATATCTCTACTGCACTGAACTTTTAAACAGTGATTAATGTCAAGGAGTGGCAAGCTAGGGACTACAGTCCACATTCATCCTGTTTCAGTATAGCCTGAAAGCTAAGAATGGCTTTTACATCCCTGGGGGAAAGAATCAGAGTGTTTGGTTACATGTGAGATGCACATGAAACTGAACCTTCCCTGTTGACTTCACTGGGACACAGTCGTACTAGGTTTGCTGACCATTCACTCCGCAGTACTGAAGTCCTATGGAACACACACACACACAAACACACACACACACACACACCCCCTAACCTTGTTTATTACTCTTTGGAAATGTACAGTTCCCAGAGAGTGAACAAGCCCCAGGTACTGTCAGTTATTTTCTGAGTTCTCAGACTGTGATTCGTTCTGGTTTTTCCAGCAATTTTACTGAAGAGTTATGTTTGGGACTGGGTCTTCCTGCGGCAAAATCAACATTAGTGTTTTCCCTGCCAACACTTCAGCCTGTGCCAACCTACATACCAACACTACTCTGCTCTGTGCTCTTCAGAGTCCTTCACTCCTGGATCACTCAGACTTCACTCAGCTCTTCTTCTAAGAATACTACACCAACTAAGAGCATATTTGGTGACAAACAGATGTCAAAAACACTCCAAGCCCGATTCATGAGACAACTGCCAACAAGACTTCAAATTTTGTGCACACATAAACTCTGCATTAATATGCTTGTGCTATTTGTGTTTGCCACATTCTACTTATCTTCCTAATGTTTTCAAAATCAGAAGATAAGAGATATTCTAGGACAAAAGCGGTGGGTACTTACCAGCCATTTTGAGCTCCAAGCCACATTGTTGGTAAAAGGCTACTCATCTTCTGGGCTTCTTCTCTCACGAGATCTTGTTCATTTTGCAACACTGATATTTGGTCTTTATAGCCATCAGAGTCATTACTGGGAAGGGGGGGACCAACAGCAAGAAGATATAAGAAACCTTAACAATGGTTTTTAGGAACTGAACATTTTAACTAACAATTCAAATTAAAAAAAAAAATCAAACACTACAATTCCAGACAAGCCAAACTTAAGTGCTTAAATATTTCAATAACTATGCAGGAAACATTAACAAATTAGAAGTCTCCAAGGTATAGAAAAGAGGTTAAGACATGGAATAAAATAACAGCAGTTGCTTATGAAGCTGCAATTGACTTGAATTTTCTGCAAGTTGTTTCTGGAGAAGGGTATGGAGATAGTTTGTTTTAAGTTCATACAGACACAGAGAGGAAGGTGATATGTAGGGAAATTTTGAGAATAAACTGAAATATCCATATATCCTATCATAAAATCTTTCTCCTGGATTATCAGGACATGTTTAGTAATAAAAGATACATAAACAGGCTACCAAATCCAGAACACGGATTTGTTTTTAAAATAAAGAGGGCATGTTAAAAATAGACTCTTGGCTGATTTATATATTAACAGAAAGTATTAGGATGCAAAAAGGTCTGGTTAAAAGAAACTCCCAGCTCTGACTAGAGGTCTCGAAAAGGTGGGGGAAAAAAAAAAAGGAATCAACTAAAAAGCTTGGATTGACCAAGGGAGAAGACCAAGTATTTGGCCCAGCAGTTAAAATGCCACTCGGGAAACCTGCGTGGGAGACCCGGAAGAAGCTCTTGCCTCCTGGCTTTGGATCCTGGCATGTACAAGGCCAGGACTTTAACCACTAGGCTACTGTGCCAGGCCCGTAAATGTTTTCTCAACTTTTTTTTCCCCCCTAAAAATGCCTATGGGCCAGAATAGTGTCATAGAAGATAAGGCTTCCCATGCAGCTCCCTGCTTGTGGCCTGGATGGCCCAAAGCCTTGGGACCCTGCACCCATATGGGAGACCTGGAGGAAATTCCTGGCTCTTGGCTCCAGATTGGCGCAGCACTGGCTGTTGCAGTCACTTGGGGAGTGAGTCATTGGACGGAAGATCTTCCTCTCTGTCTCTCCTCCTCTCTGTATATCTGACTTTCTGGTAATTAAAAAATAATGTTGGGGAAGACAGACACAACGAAAGGTGGGAAAAGGTGAAGACATGGCAGGAATAAGCAGAAACAACTTCCAGCTCACCATTCACCACTGTGATAGCACGTAGTGGGAACAGTGTGGCTGCTATATTATACCAGTTCTTTTTCTTTGAGTACTTCACTCCGTTTCTCAAGTTACTAACCCATTAGTATACCTTGAGTGATACTCTGGAGAGAGGTCTTCCGGGATTTGTACTCCCAAAGGATCTGTGAAGACGTGCTCCGTGTACACGCCGGGCTGGGAGACGTCCGCGGCGTCCTCCGCTGAGCCCGCGCTGCCTTCCGTGGCTTCAGTCGCTTCTTCTGCTGTCGGCACATTTTCATCGACCTCAGTATTTTCTGCTTCCATTTCTACAAAACAAGTAAGACATTCCAATTTTGGGTTTTTCTGCTCTGTGAATTTCTCCACACAAATCCCTGTTGTAGAATCTTACTCTGACGTGCCCCCTCCTCCACTGTACACCATGACCTTGAATTCTTGATTTCCTCTAACGACACTGCAGCATGTCTCTAAGCTCTTTTGTCACTGCTACTTTAGCATCGTTGACTAAGTCCACACTAGGGCACTTTGGTGGCCAGTGTCTCTGTTCTCCGTGCAGGCAAAATCACGCATACCTGGTGCTTTCTCTACCACCGGGGAGGCCCTGCTGGGACTGGGGGAGGCAGCAGCTCCCGTGGCACTTTCCGTGGAGCACCCAACCACCGCAATGCCCCCCAGGAGGCTGTCTGTCTCTGCTGAGCTGTTGCTTGTCATGCTCCCACACAGAGATGCTTTGTCCACCTGCCCAGACTCGGAGAGCTCTTCTCCTGCAGGGTAGTCCGTTTCTCGCGCTCCTGAAAAACCAAGTCATACTGCTTTTAACAATCTAAGCAAACTCCTACAAACATTTATTTTCACTAGGGCAGGTAAGACACACAGCTGGCTGAATACATCATCAAGATGACAGCTTTAAGCTTATTTAACCTCCAAAAAAATGGGAGACTAACCTACAACACTGAAATAATACCTCTATTAGTGCAAATGCCAATAAATGACACAAACAGGTTATAAGTGGCACTTGGGCACAGAATAAATTCCCTAGCCATACCGCAATAAAAAATAATCTAATTTTATCTGATAAATCAGCAAATAAAAATGATAATGATTCGTTTTGGGCCTCTAGCTACTACTGCTGTAGTCTAAGTACATATAAATCCTTGAAGATATCAGACGTTTAAAAATTAAGCATTTACTTTGTAAAGACAAACCTTTTTCAGGTTTTATATAAAATTTTCATTGCCATACTAAAATTTTTATTGTAAAACTACATAACAAAACCTGCTATTTTAACCATTTTAAAATGGACAATTCAATGACATTAATTACATTTACAATATTGTGTAGGCATCAGCATGGTTTCTGAAACTTTTCCATCATTCACCATTAAACAGTCACTTCACACGCCTGCCTGTTTTTGCCTCTGAATTTGCCTGATCTAGATAGTTTACATAAATGGAAGCATAACAAATTTGTCTTTTTGTGTCTGGTTCATTTCACTTAGTATGTTTCTAAGATTCGCCCCTGTCAAATGCCACTTATCAGAAACTTCATCTTCAGTCAATAATGAAACAGTGTATGCCAACAAACATTCAGAACAGTAAATCTCATATTTTTGTTCTACTAAAATTAAAAAAAGAACCATTAAAACATTCTTCTTTGAATAGTATTTCATTGTACAGATATACCACAAAGTCATTTTTAACCTAGTACTTTAACATCACATAATACGTAACATAAAATTTGATCTTTCCTTATTAATGCTTGCCCTGCCTCCCAGCATTTTTTTATACTTATTTATTTATTTTTCTCCTGTTAATTACAGATGAGAAGGGGTGGGGGTGCGGACCCATGTGGGTAAGAGAGAGCTGGAGGTGTGAGACAGATGTAGCCACGGTGGAGGTGGTGGAAGAAGGCACAGCGTTCCTTGCCAGACTACGTGTGCGGAGGGAACGGAGCCGGCTTCCCGACCCTGCTTCCCGACCCTGCTTCCCAGCAGCTCATCACATTACCAGTTTTCTTTTCTTCACAGTGTTTTTCAATATCTGAAAATATCTTGCTTTTTAATGGCTTCCATTTTCAATCTTGCCCAACTACAACACAAACTCCATGACAGCAAGCTGCACAACTAGATTTCCCACAGCAAAATCGGTTCCTGCTTAGAAGGAGGTGCAGACCGTGGGAAGAGAAAGCAGCAAGGCGGCAGCCGTTCACTCTCACCTGGTACACTTGCGATGCACAGAACATGAGAATTGCAAACAGTGAAACTGTCTAGGATGTTGCCTGGCTGAATAGCATCAATGATGATAACTTTTGTAGCTGAATGGGTGCTGGTACAGATCCAGACTTGACTGGATAATTCTTCTTGATTCTTTAACTCCTTCTGCTGTTCCTGCACAGCAAAGTAAGGAAAGTGAATGACTGAAGTCATATGTGTGTGTAAGTATTCATAAGGCTGTGTCAGTTCAGTAAAAGGCAATACCACTTCATAGTTATTTCTAGATTCTTTATTAGAGTAAAAATATAACCACCCCTCAGTATGAATTGGTAAACTAAAAATCAGCAGTTAAAGTAGATCAGAAGCTCAGAGCTTGGCTCAGTGCTTTGGTTGCCTGAACCCTTCTCAGGGGGCCTGGTCTGCGCCTCAGGCTCCCCTCCTGACTCCAGCTTCCTGCTCGTGTGGCCCTGGGCAGGCAGCAGGTGACAGCTGCAGAAGCTGCATCCCTGCCAACCACATGAGAGCCATGCACTAGGCTCTTGGCTTTGGCCTGGCTCCTCTCCAGCTACTGTGTAAGCCAGTGGAGTAAGCCAGTGGAAGGGAGCTGTCTGTGTCACTCTATGCTTTTCAAATATAATAACACAATAACAGAATAACCAAATGAACAAATAAATAAAAGTAGTTCCAGCAATACTGTTTGGGCTCTATATTTTCACTCTGGTAGTAAATACATTGTCCAAATGCCTTGAATTGTATACATCTCAAGCATACACTTTAGTGTATGTAAATTACAGTACAATAGAATGATTCTTGAAAGGGAAAAAGTAGGCAAGGACACAGTAATCCCAGTCTGAAACCAGATTCAGCAGGAAAACTTACAGAAAGCATTGAACAAAGTCTCACACATCAGGGGTCGAATGTTCACGCAGACTCACCTTCAGCTCCTGATCTAACTTATCTAAACTACTCTGAGAGGCGCTGCGCTGCTTACTGCCTTCTGTTTCCAGACCAGCAACATCCTTGTAAAACACACTTGCTCCAACGACAGAGCCGCCGTCTCTGGTCTTCCCACCAGACAGGTTGACTCCGACAGCACACCACAGCTGATCGGAGGGGAGAAGAAAAAAGGCATTAAGACATTTTTGCTCAAGAAATGGTTCTAATTTTTCACATTTTCTTAAAAACAATTGGTAGCTATAAATACAGGTCTTTGACACAGGCTGAAACTATAAAGTGAGTAATAGAATTTGAACATGTTTGGTTTTACAAAAGTATCTATGCAGAGTCTAGGAACTTTCTCCTTCATCTGAACAAGCACTGACCTTCATTGATGCATCTTTTTCATCCAGAGGCCTGAGATAGACAGGGACGGGTAAATTTTTCATCTTATTTTCCCCTTGGCCATTGGTTACCTAGTAATGGGAGCGTGAGGAGAGAATGGCATGTTGATAAGCCTCACAGAACCACTGAGATGTGCACAAGCAAGATGCTACCCATTCACTCCTTGAAATCAATTCCAGGTTGATTTTGTCAAAAGGAAACCAAGTGATAATTAGAGAAAATGGATAGCTCAGCAGAGAGATGCTAATTTACATACATGTGCGTGCATGTGTACACGTTACACAAGCATACTGAGTGTGTGGGGCTTAGGGAGTACAGGAACATGGGAGTAAACCTGCAAAGCTCCTGAACACCTGAGCTAAACTTTAGGGCAACAATTTGAAAGGCTCAGCACAGAAAAGGTCCCCACACCCCTGTGCAGCCTGTGGAGCCTCTCACCCACACACTCAGGGTACTGCGTCCCAATGACCAGAGCTCCGAAGGACAGCCTGGAAGCCACCAGCTGCCTCCGTTCTCCAGCCTGTGTCCAGCAGGGTGGGGACACCGCCCTCAAGTCCCTCTGTCCGAGCACACTCGGCTTGCCTCGAGCCTCCTGCTCCAGACCCCACCAGGGCCCCACGGTACCTGCTTATACTTCTGAGGTAGACTCCAGCCAAAGGCTTGCACTCTGCCATCCTCCTTCTGAACATGAGCCTTCACCTGGCGATACTGTTCTCTCTTCTGTTCTCTGCGTGACGCTAAACTGGCTTCAGTTCTGGAAAAAGAGATTTACTTTCTTTAAATGAGTGAACATAAGAAAAGCTTCACTTATCTTAATAAAAGAGCCAAAACAACAACAAAAAATGATTTGATTTCAAACTGGCCTATTCAAACACCATCTCTTCACTAGAGCTGGCCTTTTAAGTTTGTGCAGTGGAGATAACGGTCAAGCTTTAGGATGTGAGGGGGCAGCCTTCTACATCAAACTCAACCACCAGCTATCATGTTTCCACTAGGTTTCAGATAGTGGCCACATGAAGGAGGAAATTCCTAAGTATTCTTGGCTCTTTCTATTTTGTTCATTCAGCAAATTAAACCTTTGGAGCTACAGCGTAAAATGCATTACAAACATGTTTCTGAAAGGACCTGGCACAGTGACTCAATTAGCTAACATTCCACCTCCAAGCACTGGCATCTCATATGGGCCCTGGTTCGTGTCCTGGATGCTGCACTTCCCATCTAGCTCCCTGTTTATGACCCGGGAAAGCAGTAAGAATGGCCCAAAGCCTTGGGACTCTGCACCCATGTGGGACACCCAGAAGAGGCTCCTGGTTCCTAGCTTCGGATTGGCTCAGCTCCGGCCATTGCAGCCATTTGGGAAGTGAACAAATGGATGAAAAAATCTTTCTTTATGCGTTTCCTTCTCTCTGTAAATCTACCTTTCTAATAAAAATAAAGACATCTTAAAAAAAAAAAAACTTTTGAAAATAATGTTTCTTCTTTTGGTCATTTAAGTTTTTGTGAGGTGACCTACTAAGCATGCCAAGGTTAAAAACTCCACCTGTATGTCAAACACATCTGTAACATAATACTACCATCTCTGAAGCAGGTGGCTATTCTCTCACAGGCAGAGCAACCGAAGCTCTAAGAGGAAGATGTGTCCCCATGCTGTGTATCTAACGAGCAGCAGAGCCAGGACGGAAACCAGCTCTTTGGTTTATGGCATTAAGACAAATGTTTCAATGTTTGGGATAGAAACTTATGTAAGACTAACATTTTTATTAATGTTTATCAATGTTGTCACACCAATACAAATGGGGCATTAAAATTTTTGTCTTTTTAGGAAACTGTAAAATGCAATTTTCATAAAAAGTATTAACTATAAATAATTGACTTAAAGATAGCCAAGTGACAGAAGCAGTTTATAAATTTATCTGAATCTTTACACATGACCTGATAAGAAGCAAGAATATTCTAAATTGTTGACTTATTCAGGGCAAAATCACCAGCTTGAAAGATGCTTACTCTTCGCTGAGGAAGTCAAAGGCTTTGGACTTATCCCCGGGGAGCTGGGACAAGGTGCTGCTTCTTCTCTTGACCGAGGGAGTAACGTGAGAGGTGGGTGCGTTGTACTTCAGATTCACTGGTGGCTCCGGCTTCTTGGTCGTGTTACTTGAAGAGCTGAAAAGTCTGCTGAAACTAAAACAAAATGTGTGTGGACATCATGTGCATTGCAAAGAACAATCTGTTATTCCCCACAGTCTGATGCTCCGGGAAGTCCCAGAATGCTCTTGTCAGGCAGCAGGCTGGAAAGCGGCAGGGCGTTCACAGCCACACGCGGCAGCCTGAGCAGCAGCTCACACAGCCAAACGGCAGAACGCACAGCTCCGGACGGCACGGGCCTGTTCCCCAGTGAGCTGCTTCCACAATGCAGCAGAGGAAACTTCTGAGTAAATACAATGGTTCCTTTAGGTAGCTGCTGCTTAGTGTAATGTTAAGAATGGTGTTAACCATAGCAATCTTTGGCTAGACAAGCTAAACAAAAATTTAGTAAGCCAGTTTTCAGAACAGTCTATTCTAACAAAGTTATTCAAACACATATTATCATGCTAAAATGTTACACATTTATTAACTGACGTATTAACAATTGAAATATTTGAAGATAATTATTTTCATGTCTACTTTTGAAAAATTGCGACTTGCACTAAATAGCAGATTCACTAAAAAAGGGTTAGCACAGGGAACCTCCAGTATTTCTGGCTTGAAGATAATTAACACATATCAACCCCACAGGTGACTGCCTGCTGCGACACTAAGGCAGCAGCGCCCACCAGATGCAGAAGCAACATGATGCAGCTTACGGGAGCACTGACTGTCCGGGGCAACGGCCTTACCGAGCTGGCATGCTACGTGTCAAGAAGAAAGACTTCAGTTTAGCTATTTCATCCCAATCTTAAAAATAGGACTAAATTACAGCGGACAAAAATCATTCCTGAAAACAAATTCTGACTGTAATCTTGTCTCAAAATGCTAGCCACGCCTTCACTCACGCTCGCTTACTTACAATTGCCAGATGCTTGACCTTTTTTTTTCCTGCATGGCTGGATTTTCTCGTGATGCCCTGAATTAAAAGAGGGGGAAAAAAATGTTACCAGTGAGGAGTTCTAGCTTCCTATCTAAAGAACAAGGAATCCAAGAAGTTCATGAAATATAAAGTTGACACCAATTAAATTAAGTAGTAACTGCGACCCAATGTGTTATTCAATCTGCTAAATGTTCACACCACTGGGCCTGGTGCGGTAGCCTAGTGGGTAAAGTCCTGGCCTTGCAAGTGCCAGAACCCCACGTGGGTACCGGTTCATGTCCATGCTGCCCTGCTTCCCATCCAGCTCCCTGCCTGTGGCCTGGGAAAGCAGTTGAGGATGGTCCAAAGCATAGGCACCCTACACCTGTGTGGGAGACCCAGAAGAGCTTCTGGCTCCTGGTTTCGGATTGGATCAGCTCAGTTATGGCCGTTGTGGCCACTAGGAGAGTGAATCAACAGACAGAAGATCCTCCTTTCTGTCTCTCCTCCTCTCTGTACATCTGCATTTCCAACAAAAATACATTTTTATAAAAGCTCATACCACTAAGACAAATAAATACTATCACTTCTTCCAAGAGCTCCCTCTACTAAAACTAAGTAAGCTACCATCTTCTGCCCCCAGGGTACAAATTAGCAGGAGCTAGAATTGGAGGTGAGGTCAGGACTCCCACCCAGGTACCCCCACCATGGGATGCAGGTGTCCCAAGTGGTATCATAGCTGCTGTACAGAACATCCGCCCCAAATCCCTGTGTTGTTGGGTTTTTTTCTTTAAAATTTTGAAGCAAGCAAAGCAGAAGCTATAATGAAAGAAATGGGCAAAATGAAAAAGAAAAAAAAAAAAGACTGAAAGAACAGAGCCTCCTGTTGCAGCAGTCGGGGGACTGTTCATAGTACTGTCATAGTACTGTTTCATAGTACATTGTAAGTGAGGAACAAGCAAGTAACCATTTCCTTTCACTCGTTCATTACCACCTGATTGCCAGAGTTAAAAACGGCCGTGAAAGGCACAGCCAGCCTACACACTTTCAGTTTTTAATTCTAGTTACTTAATATCCATTAAATCCCGCAGTTTGGAAATACTACTCAGCAGAACAATTTTTCTTGTCCAATAGATAAAAGACTGGAACACTCATCCTCTTTCTCAGCAGCTGCTGCAGCGGCAAACACAGCGACTACACAACGTGTTACACACAATACTGCATCCCAGGATGACCTTGTAAGGGACAAACTGAGCTTTCTTAAAGGACTAGTGCTGCTGAGACACGGCCAGTAGATGGCAGCACTATGTAAGACATAACAGCGAGCTGGTACAAGGCACATTTTGTAAAGTCAGAAAGGGGGAAATCAAGTCAGGACATTTCACAGGACACTGAGCAATAAGATGTTAGTTCCCTGTGACACTTAGGAAATGTTTTCCTTTCCTCACACTGCAAAAATAAAGCCACTTTATATATTCTTCCGATAAATGGTCATCATTCCTAAATAACCAGGGTTCTGTAGCAGTCATGGGAGCATCCTCCAAGGCTCCACACAGGACACAAAGGCCCATTTCTAACATGTTCTGTTACTGATTCCACGTGTGACTTCAGAAAGTCTGTCCTAGTAATTAGAGGAAGGGGCTCGGACCTCCAAAGCAGGACTCTAGCTCAGAACAAAGGAATACTCAAGAAACAAGAGCGGACAACACTGGAGTATTTCTCATACAAACCGAATCATCTCTGTCCATCGAACAGCTTCTTGAAGCTCCATCAATCTTTCTTTATACTGGTTCCTCTCCATGAGAACTCGGGCCATTTCTACCCTGGTAAAGCGCTTCCTCTGTGCTGTAGGAATATCACTCTGAAATGGGAAAAAGATGACAGACAGATCGCTTTGGAGCTTACATGTTTTGGTGCTAAGCTCAGAGAAACAAATCATTAAATTCAACCTTAATCTTTCACTAATCACATAAAAATCATATTTAATTCTGAGTATAAATACATATACTTGAAAGAAAACACAAACAGAACACACCTTCAATGAAGATTAATTTAATTTACCTATCTAAACTCTTATATAAGTTTCACTTGGAAATGTTCCTCCAACATTTTAAATTCTTTGTCTATAACACTGGTCATTCAGAAAATACCTATAAGCTAGTTCCAGATGAAGTTCCTCTTTTCAATTTTATTTGACAGGCACCCGCGTGGGAGACCTGGAAGAAGTTCCTGGCTCCCGGCTTCAGATCGGCATAGCACCGGCCATTGGGATCACTTGGGGAGTGAATCATAGGATGGAAGATCTTCCTCTCTGTCTCTCCTCTCTGTATATCTGACTTTCCAATAAAAATAAAATAAATCTTAGAAAAAAAAGATTCATTTATTTTTATCGGAAAATCAGGTATACAGAGAGGAGGAGAGACCAAGAAGATCTTTTGTTCATTGATTCACTCCCCAAGTGGCTACAATGGCCAGAGCTCAGCCGATCTGAAGCCAGGAGCCTCTTCGAGGTCTCCCACGTGGGTGCAGGTCCCAAGGCTTTCAGCTGTCTTCTACTGCTTTCCCAGGCCATAAGCAGGGAACTGAATGGAGAGCAGGGCTGTCAGGACATGAAATGATGCCCATATGGTATCCTAGCACATGCAAGGTGAGGACTTTAGCCACTAGGCTACTGCGTTGGATCCAGGATTATTCTTTGAATATAGAATGTAAATGGAGCTGGTACTATGGCACAAAGAGTTAAGCTTCTGCCTGCAATTCTGGCATTCCATACTGGACTGGCTCAGGTCCTGAATGGTCCACTTACAATCCTGCTCCTTGTTAACGATTCTAGGAAAGTGGCAGGAGACGATTCAAGTGCTTGAACCGCCATACACATGTGGGAGATCCAGAGTCCCAAGTTCCTAACCAGTGAATGAAAGTCCTCTGACATCTTCTCTATAACTCCACCTTTCTTTTTTTTTTTTTTTAAGATTTATTTTTATTATTTTTTCATTGGAAAGGCAGATATACAGAGAGGAGAGACAGAGAGGAAGATCTTCCGTCCGATGATTCACTCCCCAAGTGAGCGCAACGGCCGATGCTATGCCGATCCAGAGACAGGAGCCTCTTCCGGGTCTCCCACGCGGGTGCAGGGTCCCAAAGCTTTGGGCCGTCCTCGACTGCTTTCCCGGGCCACAGGCAGGGAGCTGGAAGGGAAGCAGGGCTGCCAGGATAGAACCGGCGCCCATATGGGATCCCGGGCGTGCAAGGTGAGGACCTTAACGACTGTGCCACCGCGCCGGGCCCTACACCTTTCTAATAAATAAAATTTAATACCCCCCCACAAAAAAAAGAAAAATAATAAAGTGGGACCAGCACTGTGGTATAGCAGGTATCGTGACATTTACAACTCACATGGCTGCTGGTTTGAATCCTGGCTGCTTCACTTTCAATCCAGCTCTTTGTTAAAGGCCTGGGAAAAGTAGTGGAAGATGGCTCAAGCACTTGGGCCCCTGCACCTATGAGAGAGACCCAGACGAAGCTCCTGGGTCCTCAGCTCTGACCACCGTAGCCATTTGGGGAAGTGAACCAGTGAACGGAAGATCTCTGTTTTCCTATGTCTCCCACCCTCACCTGGTAACTCTTTCAAATAAATAAATCTTTTTTTTTAATGTGAGCCAATTAGCTAATACTCAAATTCTAAACATTTTTTCATGTTAAATATTAGTAAATTATTTTTATTAAACTGTCATATTTCTAAGACAAAATCTGAAATAAAAACAAAAATGAATTCCAATGTCCTACATTATCTTTGAATTTGAACGTGCAAGCACAGGTTAGAACATAGCCACAGAGGAAAATTAAGGACAGTGCACGTGGATGGAAGGCTTAGGATGTGCGTGTCATGTGGAAAACACGAGCTATCTTATTCACGACTACAGACCCATCCACTGACTTTAAAATCTCCCATCAGCTGCAACACTGGCATCCCAAATAGGCACTAGTTAGTATCCCAGCTGCTTCACTTCTAATGCAGCTTCCTGCTATCGTGCCTGGGAGAAGCTGTGAAAGATGCTTCAAGTCCTTATTCCTCTGCCAACTATGTGGGAGACATGAATGAAGCGCCTGACTCTTGGGTTAAGCCTGCCTAGCCATGGCTAATTATGGCCATCTGGGAGTGAACAGGCAATGGAAGATTTCTTCTTCTTCCTCTTTCTTTTTTAACATTTTTTTTTTTTTTTTAAAGCAGAGTTACAGAGGGAAGAGGGAGAGACAGGAAGAGAGAAAGGGAAAGAGATCCATCTTCCACCTGCTGGTTCAATCCCCAAATGCCTGCAACAGCTGGGGCCAATCCAGCATCTTCTTCTAGGTCTCCCACGTGGCTATAGGGACCAAGGACTCGAACCCTTCTCCACTGCCTTCCATGTTAATTAACAGGACTCAAAACAGATGACCACATGGGATGCTGGAGCTGCAGCTGGAAGTTTAGCGTCAACCTCAACCTTAACTTTCAAATAAAAATATGTAAATCTTCAAAAAATAAAATTAACAAAGATCAATCATAGAGAGATATCTAACTCTCTTAGATACCCAAGCAAGGTAAAATCATGTTTGTAGCCAGTGTTAGGGTGTAGCAGTTAAGCCACTGTCTTGAACACTGCATCCCACATGGGCACCTATTTGAATACTGGCTGCTCCACTTCCAGATCAGCTCCATATTTATTTGCCTGGGGAAGCAGTGGAGAATGCCCAAGTGCTTGGACCCCACACCTGTGAGGGAGACCCAGAAGCAGCTTTGGGCTTCTGGTTTTGCTCTGGCACAGCTCTGGCTGTCACGGCATGTGGGGAGTGAATCCTCCTGTCACTCAGCCTCTCAAACAGAAATCTTAATGGCTGGCATTCAAGAAATACAACATGTGACAAAACATTAGGAATGAAAATTAGGGGGCCTGGCGGCGTGGCCTAGTGGCTAAAGTCCTCGCCTTGAACGTGCCGGGATCCCATATGGGCGCCGGTTCTAAACCCAGCAGCTCCACTTCCCATTCAGCTCCCTGCTTGTGGCCTGGGAAAGCAGTTGAAGATGGCCCAATGCTTTGGGATCCTGCACCCACATGGGAGACCTGGAGGAGGTTCCTGGCTCCTGTCTCTGGATTGGCACAGCACCAGCCATTGCACTCACTTGGGGAGTGAGTTATCAGAAGGAAGATCTTCCTCACTGTTTCTCCTCCTCTCTGTATATCTGACTTTGTAATAAGAATAAATAAATCTTAAAAAAAAAAAGAATGAAAATCCAGATGATATAACTCAAAATAAACAAATAAAATCTTTGTAGTACTATATTCGATGCTTGATTGCTAGGATTTTTTTTGATTTAGCAAAATGTACTAAGGAAAAAAAATTCAGGGCCTGGCCTAACAGGCTAGTGGTTAAATCCTCGCCTTGCAACTAACAGGACCCCATGTGGGTGTGGGTTTGTATCCCGGCTGCTCCACTTCCCATCCAGCTCCCTGCTTGTGGCCTGGGAAAGCAGTTGAGGATGGGCCACAGCCTTGGGACTCTGTGCTCAAGTAGGAGACCCCAAAGAAGCTCCTGGCTCCAAACTGGTTTAGTTCCAGCCACTGTAGCTACTTGGGGAGTGAGACAATGGATGGAAAATCTTTCTCTCTGTCTCTCCTTCTCTCTGTATATCCTTTCAAATAATAAAATAAAATAAAATTTTTTTTTAAAAAAAGAAAAGTCCAAAATTGTAGACCTACATCATCATCATCTTTTGCTTTTTGCCTTGCATCTTCAGCTTCTGCACGAGCTCTAGAGGGGGAAAAAAAATATGATTATTTAAATTAAGCTCAAATTCAAAAACCAAAAAGCCTTCCTAAATATCAAGAGTAGGTCAACTACCACTAAAGGATTTGCTTTATTTTGCCGAACAAGGTATCAACAGACTTTGATTTTTAGAAATGCTATTGTGGCACTGCTTCCAGAAAACAAACAATAAAGCAAGTTGGGGGAAGGAAAAGGGTGTTTTTGGTTTCCTTATTTTCAAAATGAAAGTGTTTGAACAGCTCTATTTTTTTACCCATTATGACAGACACCAACCCTGGTAACAACTGGATGTCAAACTGGTGAACGTAGGGTCCACTCATAGCAGAGGCCGTCTTGGGTATACTTCACCCTCTCCTAGGCAGCTGCTGGCCCTTCCTGGATGGTTCAGGGCATCCATCTCAACAGTTGCCTGTAGAATCAAGGCCCACACTGGCAAAAACAGCTTGGTTTACAACAATACACCCAAACTTACTTCCTAAGCTCTTCCTCCAATTCTTTGTTCTTTTCCTCTAGCTTCAGTTTGGCTTGCTTCACCGCCTCCAGCTCCCCTTGCAGCACATCTTTCTCACAGGTGAGTTCATCCACTTTTGCTATTAAATCATTCTTCACTACATTCAAAGCATTTCTAGGAGATACATATTTCAAGCGCGTCATTACGAATACTATCTTTCTGATTATTCCTTCGTAGACTGATACAATCACAAAACTCAGTAACAGAAGTCTTTTCAAGACATTCTGATTGCTGTTTGTAAATAATCAATGCAAAGCACAATATTTTTACTTTTCCTACTTGACTAATGAAGCAGACATGGATAAAACAAGGCAGACTACTAATTAAGAAAAAGTCAGACATTAAACTTTAAAAATAGCAGTCATAAAACAACTTAAGCTTTTAAGTCTGAAAATACATTAATCAATCAATACAATTACCATTAATAATTAATTCAAAGTCTAAATTGGAAAGACATTGGAAAAAAAAATCCAAGATTGAGTTCTTTTAAGGATAGCAGACATAGGACTGCTGTCTGTCTCAGACACATGCAGATGTTCCAAAGTTGCTCTCACACAGCAAACTGGCAAAGGTACAAGTTCTGCTTTTCAAAAGACTGAGGACCTATTCCACTAACCAACACTCAGTCTACTTAAGGGCTCAAGGGTCACAAATTGTACCCAAATTGTTCACCAAAGCTCTGTGGTGACGACAGACCAAAACACCTGTACTGAGGAGCAGGAACCGTGGTGCAGCACATTAAGCTACTGCTTGGGATGCCCACAGCCCAGAGCAGGGTGAGTGGAATCCAGTCCTGTCTCTGATTTCTGGTCCAGCTTCCTGCCAATGTTGTTGGGAGGCAGCAGATGATGGCCCAAGTTCCTGGGTCCCGGCTACTCCACATGGAAGACCCAGATGGATTCCTCAACTCCTAACTTCAGAAGCCTGGCCCAGGCTGGCTGATGTAGGCTTGGGGAGTGAACCAACAGATGGCTCTGGCTTTCTTTCTTCTCTTAATCATTTTGCCTCTTAAATAAATAAATAAATATACTTAAACTCCAGGACAGAAGTGAAGAAAGTAGACAAATCTCAAGGGCTTGGGGGGGGGGGGGCTGTTGGGGATGGGGGATGGAGGATGGCAGCACAGAGAGAATGAGATGAAAATCAGGGGCAGGCATTCGACTCAGTGGTTCCAAGCTTATCTCCTGGAGTGCCCGGGCTTGATTTCAAGCTCTAGCATCAGCTTCTGATTCCAGCTGCTTGCCTGGGAGGCAACAACTGAGTCCTTGCATCCATGTGGGAGGTCTGAATTGAATTCCCAGATTCAGGCTCCAATCCCAGGTCCAGCCATGAGGTTGTTGCAGGTATTGGGAGAGTGAATTGGCACATGGAAACTCTATCTCTACAGTACTTTAAAAAAGGAGATAAAAATCCATGCTTCTACAAAAAAAATGGAGCAATGATATCTGTTCCTCAGGATCATGTGGGTCCCATTTTACTTATTTATTTATTTGTGTGTGTGTGTAAATCAGTAGAGAAAGGCAACTGCATTAATTCTGTCAAACTCATGAGGTGTTTTGATTTGTACAAAAAGAAAATCTGGTATTTTTCATTTCTTGTTAAAATTTTACGCATACTTACTTGGTTTCCAACAGTTGTGTATTTTCTAATATAAGATTCTCAACTTCACGACCCATTCCTATCAAAAGAAAATGATAAAAGATTTTGCAGATAAATTTATAAAAAATTATACTTATTTAAATTAGAACAAGCTAGTCACAAACTTTAATTTCTAAATTTTATTTACCAAATTATTTGCCTTATGATTTCATTTGATATATCTAGTTAAATGGACTAAAAATTTCAAATAATTATTCGGCACAAAATAACATGTGAGGTGTTTTGGTCAATTCCTTATATCTGTTAGTCTGTATTTCATTTCTCATAGATAACGTTCAAAATGATCAAGGTTTTCTGCTAAATATAGTAACAAGTAGCATTATTCAGGGAAAAAAATTAGATTTTATTAATAGAAAACAGGTAGAAACAAGGCCCAAACAAGACAGAACCCCCAAGGCAGATGAAACCTTACCAAAGAAATTATGGTCTTAAAGCCCATGCATTCCATGTAAAGCAAAAACAAAGAACAAGAAACGTTTTATGTAAGAAACAGCATGAAAACAGATTATTGATCTATAAAGTTTTATGCATGATATGAAAACATCTGGAGTCACAATGTAATGGTCTAATGTATAATGATGTACCAAAGACAGAAATAAAGATGGCTGGTTTTTATTTATATACATCTAAAAAATGATTTACTATTCTTTTTCACAAAAAAAAAAAAAACAAAAAAAAAAAACAAAAAAAACTGAATTAGATTGAAAACCCCAAACCAACATCATCAAATCTCCTGGAAAGTGCCACTAGTGAAATGACAACATTCAGTTGCCACTTAATAGAACTGTGCTTAACATCCCCTCATGAGCACTGTGAGACAGCACGGTCACTGCAGAACCCGGAGCAGCGGTCTCCAGGGAGAAGGAAGCTACTGAAGCTGCTTCTCATAAGAAACTGAAACATTAGTGGACACTGATCAAAAAAACAAGATGAAACAAAAATTCCCACTACTTATTGTGGAGTTAATGGAGGGAAATTGTAATATTTTCAATCCAGGGTCATAACCGAGTAAAGAAAAAGGAAACATTTCTGCAAAAAGTTACATAAAGCAAAAGCACTAACACATCTCTTTAATAAAGAAAAGCTAGGACCAGCGTTGTGGTGCAGCATCTCAGAGAGGTTCAGGACCCAGGCCCGACTGCTGTACTTCTCATCCAGTCCTTGCTAAGAAGCTCCTGAAAAGCACCACGAGGTGGCCAAGTGCCTGGGCCCTTGCTAGCCATGTGGGCAACCTGGGTGGCGTTCCAGGTCCCAGCTTCAGCCTGGCCCAGCCCCAGCTGCATTTATGTATTTCACAAGTGAACCGGTGTATCAAAAATACTTCTGTCTCCTTCCCTCCCTTTCTTCCTCTCTCTAAACACACACAACACACCCACAATTACTGTTTTTTCAAAAAGCAAAAGTAACACTACAAATTATTTAAAACAAAAAACAACTCACAATTTTATGTGTAATTTTAACAAATATGCTAAAAAAAAACCAGGCCAATTCAATCAGAAATGATAGTACCGTATTTAATCATCCATCCATCTTTACATATCTATCCCACACTAACTGAGAAAGCACAGTGTGCACATTTTCAGAATCCCAATTTCATAATTTTTGCAAGATATTTGCTTTGAATAGTATGTCAACTTTCTAATAAAATCACAGAGACAGAGATTTGACTAGGTGAAGTTTGTGTAATAACCATTTGCTATGAACTCTCAAGCAGTCATAAGCAAAAAAGCTGAATGTAAGTTTTCAGAGCAAAAAAAAAAAAAAAACCAAATTGAGCAGAACTAAATCATGAGAAAGCACTAAATGAGACTAGCAGCCAAAAATACCCAGCTTAAAGCAAAACTATTAAAGTATTTAAAAGCATACACACCAGAATATTCCCCTGAGTAAGCAGCCCAAGAGAAAAATGAATGAGAATCTCAATTAGACTGTTTTCAAGAACTGAAACTAACTTATTTTAAAATGAGAAGGAGATGATAAAGGACCTGAAGTGATACAAAGAAACCATTAACTAAATGAAATGTAAATGTTAAATAGGAAAAAATTGAAATATGTACTGGATTAGAAACATTCTATAGTTTTAAAGTGTATTTTGAATCTATACATTCTCAGTAAAGAGTACTCTTAAAATCTAGCACATAAATTATATGACCAACAGGATTATCTAAATTTTTCATTTTGATATATCAACTAAAAGTCACTCATTATTAACACTAAGAACACAGCTTCAAGTGATCTTACATCTTAAACTAAGCATAAGTTTAGGTCTCATATATTTGAAAACTTTATTAAAACCAATTTAAAAAAGCAACTGTCCAATTCTAAAAAATCTTAGAAGTCTCATCTAAATTTCAGTTCTGATTTTTAAGCTTGGAACGCAGGTGGGTTTCAGAGTTATCTGGGAATCATATGAGAGAGCATGCACCATTTTAGCTACTTATGTTGTATATTTTCCCAAATGTACTTTGCTATCTTACAGATTTTTTTGAAAAGGATATTTAATCCCAGCAAATGAGCAATCACAGATTTAGAAGTGAAACAAAATTGTGAGAGCTTCTTTGTGAGGCTGGAACTGTGGCAAAGCAAGTAAAGCTGCCACTTGCAATGCAGGCATCCTACATAAGCACTGGTTCATGTCCCAGGTGCACTCTTTCTGATTCAGCCCCCCCTTAATGACCTGGGAAAAGCAGAGGAAGGCGGTCCAAGTGTTTGGGCCCTTGACAACCATGTGAGAGACCCAGATTAAACTCCTTGCTTAGGCCTGGTCCAACCCTGGCCACTGTAGCCATATGGGAAATGAACTAGTACATTGAAGGTCTCTCTCTCCCTCTCTCTGTGTAATGCTTTTAAAATAAATAAATACATACAGCTTTTAAAAAAAATATTTTGTAATATCATTCACTTAGCTGTTTGCTATGTGTAATACCGAATAAAAAATAGTTTGGCTACCCTGAGCTTATGATATACTCACAAAAACAGGTACATTAAAAATCAGTCAATTATGAAGAGTGGCATAAAAGGTATTATGCCATGAAAACACATTTTATGGACAATTAAACTTAAATTAGGGGATCACACCAGAACTCCTGGGAGAAAAATGTCATTCAAGCAGAGACAATAAGGACAAATATGAACCTGTACTAAGAAGAGAAAAAGAGAAATTCTTGGCCTTTTGCCTACGATCAAGTAGAGGAGGGAACCACCAGGCAGCACAGACTGGCTGGCTGTACGGGCAGGTAGGAGAGCCCAGCACAGAGCTCCGAGTGGATGATGATTTGCTGCTCCCAGAGCAGTGTTACTGCAGAGCCACAAAGATGAGCTGCAGGTATTATCAGGGGCAAAGCCCTACAAACCAACTCCAGGGTGTATAGCTAGGCAGTTTGGAAAAAGCAGTCTAGGGATCAAAAAAGATCTAGGAGATTAAACTTGGGAGAATTAGTCTTATTTTCCAAGAGATGAGAAAACTAAACATGATTTCCCAATCAATTAAACAGGCATAGAACAGAAACACTGATACTAGGAAGATGAATGGAGAAGTGAATTTCATTAAGACTAAATAATGGAACAGTCAGAAGCAGAAAAGGATGCAGGCAAACCAGATGTCACAGCAAAGATAATGTTGAAGACAAATGCTTTAAAGAAGTCACAGGAGGAAACTCAGAAGAACCCACTGCACACAGCAACAAAGTTGCAAGGTGAGTGCAGGCAAGAATGTCATATCACAATAGGACAGGGAAGCACAGGGACTGGGGAAGTCTTGTGAAGGAAAGCAGCCGAACTTTCAGGAGGTGTGTTTGAGTCACTGATAGATCACATCAGTATCTAAAACAATGCTTGGCACATAATAAGCCCTTCATCCATATGACTGTATACTAGACACGGGAGAAAAATGAGCAGTAGGTGGTACAGGGAAGGGCTGCTGGCAGAGGGGGATGGAGTTTTTAAACAGAAAAGACTCGAACATGTTTTAAACAATAGGCAGAAGTTAGCAGAGATAATGAAGTTAAAAATACATAAAATAATAAAGAAGATCTCAAGAGTAGGGTATATGAATATAGCAGAGTTCCTATTTCTTGAATGTGTTAATGGACAACAAGCAACTGCAGTGGAGAAAAGTCACTAAAAATAAGAAAGTCAACCGATGAAACACCAGTCAAGACAAAAGCCAAACTATTGGCATTATCTTTTATAAATCATCAAAGTCAGAAAAAAAAAGAAGCTAGATAAGAGTCTATGCACATCGACTGAAAGAAGTTTGTATCTTGGAAAAACAGAAAAATTGCAAAGATGAACAGAGTTATAGAAGTAGACTATATTTAATATTCAAACCAAAGGCAATTAGAGAACCTTGGGGAACAATTTCATTAGCCTAACTACAATTCCATTTAGGATGACCTCAATAGCCATCACTGAAATGCACACAGAAGAGGGGCCAAGGAATACGACCCTCAGAAATCTCATCATCTTTGACTCAAAGTATTCACGTAGGTATAAGGTATTAAACTTAGGGTTACATATTAAAATCTGAAATGTTCTAGAGGTAAATATGTCAGCATATGCAAACTGGATGAGCAAGTCACAGTCTGTTTTTTTTTTTAATTTCATTTTGTGACACAGTTTCGTAGGCTCTGAGATTCCCCCAACTGCTCCCTGCACCCTTGTTGCAGTGTTACAGAGCAAATCCAGTCATGATTTTTTCATTGCAAGCATGTACCATGCATAGAGTCCAGCATCTTATTGTCCAGATAAATTCAACAGTTTCTTGGGACTATTTCTGTTTTTAACACTTATTTATTTGAGAGGCAGAGAGAGACAAAGGTTTTATTCAGGATTGCTAACCCCAATCTTTCTTTTCTTCTGAAGAGCTAATCAGCCTTCTAGCACTTACAAATAGTTGTGCTCTTTGAATCAAGCACTGTTCAAAGAATACTAAGCACAAAACAGTTTAAAGTAAAATCCTGATGCTTTCATTTCCACTATTTATTAAGGACAAGAAATAGAGGCTGGTGTGGTGATACAGCAAGAAAATCTTCTGCCTGCAAGCACCAGCAACCCAGTGGAGAGAGGTGTGTGTCCCAGCAGCTCCACTTCCCATCCAGCTCCCTGCTTGTGACCTGGGAAAGCAGTCAAGGACGGCCCAAAGCCTTGGGACACTACACCCATGTGGGAGATTTGGCAAAGGCTCAAGGTTCCTGGCTCCTGGCTTCAGATCAGCTTAGCTCCAGCTGCTGTGACTGTCAGGGGACTGAACCAGTGGGTAAAGGATCTTTCTCTCCATTTCTCCCTCTCTCTGTAATTCTGCCTTTCCAATAAAAATTAATAAATACACTTAAAAAGAATAAAATAATGTAGGAGTAGATGTTTGGCCTACCAGTGAAGATACTCACATCTCCTATCATAGTGCCTTGGGCTCAGTACTCGGCTCTGGCTTGGATTCCTGACACTAGCTTCTTACTAACACACACACACGGAGAAGCATCAGGAATGGCCACCCATGTAGGACCCTGGATTTGGATTGACGTCACAGCTTTAGTTCAGTCTAGCCCTTGGTCATGTGCAGACCTGTGTGATGGTAGGGAGGGGGTGTGAACCAGTGAATGGAAGCTCTCTCTGGGTGTCTCCCAAATAAATAAGTAAAGCTGAAAACACACACACACACAACAGCTTTACTCTGGTTAATACAAAGAAGCAACATACAGAAAACTGGGGAGTGATGCATATCGATTGTAATGGTAGTTAAAGAACTATTGCTCTTTTCAAAACTCAAAAAGCTATGCACAGAAAGAAGAGTGAGCTGTATATGTACAATTTAAAATTCAATTAAAAATTGTTTTAATTCCTGCAATATTTTTTGGCAACTGCCCCTTAATTTGGTTAGGAAGTAACTTTGTTTTATTTTTTGGTAGGAAGTCAATTTCTTAAAACAAACCAATCAAATTTTTAAAAATTTCTGCATGCTTTGATGTTAAGTAAAACTACAGTGCATATTTCAATACAAAAACTGGAACATTTCTAGGGTAGGCTTTGATCAGTGTTTAAGAATCTGCATCCCACATTGGATTGCTCAGGTTCAATTCCCAATTCCATCTCTGGCTCTAGCTTCCTACTAACGTTCATCTTGGGAAGCAATGATTATGGTAATGACTCCAGTAATTTGATTTCTGCTACTCTCACTGCTACGTGAGAGGTGTGATTTAAATTCCTGGTTTTTGATCTTAAACTCATTGGTTCAGAGCATCTGGGGAATGAGAGATAGATGAAGCTCTCTCTAGTTGGCAGGCTCGAGAGAAATAACTCTTCTTAACACTCCTTCAGAAATGTAATGCATTCAATTCCTTTCAATGTCTGACTGAGACATTAATGGTGGGGGTCTCATTATATTTACATAGGAATAATCATTTCCAATTTCTTTTACATTTAGATAGAATTTGGGTTTCCTTTTAAAAACATTTTGATGTCAAGAACATAACTGGAAATCAATAAATATATATTAATGCAGACAATGTCAATCCACTCTAGAGAGCAGTACCTTGCATTGTAATTACACTGATACAAAACTTTTTTGTAGATTGAATTAAATATCTATTCCAAATGCGTAGGTTTTTAAATCTCTATGGTTCTTACTGTGTATAAGATCTTAGAGTTATTAGAAAGGTACTGCAAAACTAATTCACACAAGTCAGAATCATGTAACTACTGCTGAAAGGAACTTCAGAGATCACCTAGAGAGAAGGTTGGCAAACACTCTGACAAGGGTCAGAGAAGGGAAATATTTTGGGTTTCACAAGTCATATGATCTGTGTTGCATATTACTCAGCTCTGTTTTGGCAAAAGCAAAACCACAGACCAGTAAGCAAATCGGGGTGGCTGTGTCTCAATAAAAATTTGCACAACAGGAAGTGAGCTAGATTTGGCTGATAAACTGCAGATGATGGACCTGCTGTACTAGGGTCTAATTCCTTCACTTAATGAGAAACTAAGGTCAATAAAGGTTATGGGGCAAAGGCCACCCAAGCAAAAAGTGGTAGAGACAAATGTGTTTTAAATCATGTGTTAACATAAACTTTAAAGTTTTGTTTTAATGAAAGTCAACAGAATTTAATGAAAAAAAATTTAAAGCAAGGAAGTATCAATCAATATATACTTCCACACACATTCCCAATTATTTTTCAATGTGCCTCCTTGTGAGTGGTATCTGTTCTCAAACTATAGTGGGAATTGTACTAGTATAGATATTTTCACTTAAAATTATCATGATTTCAGGGACATGTCTTCAGTAAGCACGTAAAGTACACTTTACCCCACACATCATGGGGTAGCACGAACATTTTAAGGCAACTTTCAATTAAGCCATTAAAAAAATGTATTTTTAAGCCAGTTTCATACTTCCTTAGGTGACCTGTCATACCTAGTAAGTCAGCTCCTTCATCCACATCTCCAATTAGGCCGGAGCCAGCTGAAGACAGTTCTTCAAAGAGAGATTCAGTATTGCGATCAAAAGCTTTGTTCTCTATGCCTTTGGTGGGAGTGCTATGAAATAAACAGAACAAAATCAACACATTAGAAAGACTTTTTTTCTCACTGTCTATATCATGCACTAAGCTACATAGCAATCTCTTACCTATAAATTACATCTACTATAAAACATAATGTTATAACATTTCTGAACAGTTTCTCAAGAAATTCCCATTAAATTCCATGGAGACAAATACTCATGAAGCTGCAGAAATGTTTTTCTTGTAAGATCCAAACAAACACCATGAAGGCTGTTACTCTGCTCTGCACCAGGCACGGGTCTCAGTGCTTCATATAAACCACACTCGGGTCTCACTGTTAACTACTCTACAAGTACTAATTTGCAAGAGATATTTATTTATTTGTGTCTACTTGAAAGACTGAGTACATTACATGTTGCTATTCTTTTGTTTTAATAGAGGAAGAAACCAAAGGGGTTAAGGAATTTTCTTTTTAAATTTATTTTATTTTTATCACAAAGTCAGATATACGGAGAGGAGGAGTGACAGAGAGGAAGATCTTCCATCTGACGATTCACTCCCCAAGTGAACGCAACAGCCGGTGCTGTGCCGATCCAAAGCCAGGAGCCAGGAACTTCCTCCATGTCTACCACACTGGTGCAGGTTCCAAGGCCTTGGGGTATCATCAACTGCTTTCCCAGGCCACAAGCAGAGAGCTAGATGGGAAAGTGGGGCCGCAGGGATTAGAACCGGTGCCCATAGGAGATTCCAGCATATGCAAAGGCAAGGACTTTAGCTGCTAGACTACCACACTGGGTCCAGGGTTAAGGAATTTGCCAAGATCATTTAGCAATGAAAGCAGCAGGATTCACACAGTCAGTATCCATAGCAATGATATTAACTATTTGGAGCTGACATTGTGGCTAGCTACTTAATTTACTGCCTGGAATGCCAGCATCCTATCTGAGCAACAGTTCAAGTCCTAGTTGCTCTGTTTCACATCCAGCTCCCTACTAATCCACGTGGGAAAACCCTGGAAAATGGCCCAAGTTCTTGGACCCTTGCCATCTACATGAAGACCCAAATGAGGTTCCAAGACCCTGGTTTCGGTTTGGCCCAGTCCGGCTGGTATAGCCTTTTGGGGAGTAAATCAACAATGGTGAGCATATGATTCAAGTGGGGGTTTTAGTCAGTCCAGGCAGGGTGGCTCCACCTGTTGGCAGGTGTGTGGGTTGGTTTTGGAAGAGGGTGATTCAGGTAGGGCCAGGGCAATCTTAGCTCACTAGCAAGTGCTGAGGCAAGGCTTGAATACAGGGCATGCCAGGCTAAGCTATCATACCCACCAATATGCATGAGTCAGGGCCAGGACCAGGGCCAGGCTGTAGCACTCACCAGCAAGAGCTGGGACTGGTGGTGGGGCGGGTCAGGTCAGGCCACAGCATTCAATGGCAAAGGTCAAGATGGAGAATGGGCTATGCCAAGCTGAGTCAGAGCAACCACTGGCATGCACAAAATCTGGAGCTGGGAACAGGTCTGGTTGGGTATGCCCTGCCTAGCTTGCGTTCCTACTAATGAGTACAAGAGCCGGAATTGGGGGCAGTGGTATAGATTGGACATGGCTACAGTCTCCCTCAGCATGAGTGTAGACTGGATCTGGGGCGTGCCAGACTGGGCTAGACTCCAGCATCCACCGATGCTTGTGAGAGCCAGAGTGTATGCAGAATGGGCTGGACTAGGACTCGGCTCCCACTGGGTCACATGAGCTGCATCAGGGCATGGACCAGGCGTGGCTGAGCTGTAACACCCTACAGTAAGAACCGGGTTGGGTGTGGGCCAGTTGAGTAAGGCCACTGTTCCTGCCAGGACAAGAGGTGGACTATGTCAGCCAGGGCCAAGGACTCACTGGTGTGCATGAGATCTACCACTGGGAGGAGACCTGATCCAGGAGCTTCAGAAACTCCTTTGTCACGGTGCAGTCCCTGCAAGTGAGTGCAAGAACCAAGGCAAGAAGCAGGCCAGGTTGAAGTACCTGCAAGCATGTTTGGTTCATGCCTGGGGGCAGCCAGGCTGGAACAGTTCAAAACACCCACCAGCAGATTTGAGAACCTGGATGGGGTGCAGGACAGGCTGGGTCAGGCCGCAGCACCAGCCAGTTCACATTAGGGCCATAACTGGGGGCTGACCTGCCAGGATGAGCTGGAACTGGGGGCAGACCCGGCTGGATCAGGCTACAGTACCTGTCAGCAAATGCCAAGATGAGATGGATCATGCCAGACTGGGGCACAGCACTCACCAGCACATGCGAAAACTGGGGGAAAGTGTGCAAGTCAAGTAGGCAAGTAGTGGGGACTCCCCTGCTCCTGCTGGAAAGTGTGAGAGCTGGGGCTTGGGGAAGACCAGGTTGGGCAGGGATACAACACCTGTTGGCCTACACTGACCTGGGTTGGGGGAGAGCCAGGCTGTGCTAACAGATTGTATCCACTGGTGCATGCACAAACCAGAGTAAGGACAAGCAGGCTGGGCTTTGCTGTAGCATCACCTGGCAAGTGCTAGGATTGGGGGCAAGTCCTGTTGAGCTAGACTGCAGAACTACCTGGAGAGTGCAATATCCGGGGCAGGGAGTGGGCCCAGTAGGGAAGCTGTGTGCACCTCTCTGATGGGCTGCAATTCCCACTGGTGAGCACAAGAATCAGGACTGGGGGCAGGCCTAGCTGGACAGATAGTGACATCTGCCAGCATTAGTGTCAGCTGGTGGGTGGAGTCGGTTGGGTTGAGTTAGACTTCAATGTCCAGTGATGTATACGAGATCTGAATGGGATATGGGGCAGATTGGACCAATGCTGCACAGCCTGGCAGGCAGAGGAACCAGAGCTAGGGGCTGGTCTAGTGGTGTCAATGGGGGTCACTCTGACTTGGCTGCAGCTCCCCCTAGTTTACATGAGGGCCAAGCGAGTGGTGAGCAGGGCTGGGCTAAGCTACAGCACTCAATGGTTTGCAGAGGAAGCAGAGCAGAACAAATTGATCAACTACTCCAGTAAAACTTGACAGCAAATTTCTGGGTGAACGGAAACTCAGAGGAAGACTATGTAGCCAATTGACCTTAGAAGGATTTCCTCATCCTTGCACAGTGATATCAAGAGCATCTCAGAACTACTGAAATCACTTGAGCAGAACCCTCAGAAAATGCTCTACAATGGGACCCTAGGATGATATCGGGTGGCAGTTCCCCATCCCCTGGTACTGAGGAGGCTGAGAGACTGGGCATGGTTTTCGCCCTTGTATCCTCCTGCCCCTAGATACAGGAAGAAGAAAATGTATAAACAATGGTCTTGCTCACTTTACCCTGATCCTCAATCCTTCCCACCCTGGTCAACTATGTAAACATCATCATAAATAAAATCTAAAGAGAGAATATAAACACATTAAAAAAAATCCCTGATCATATAAAAAGGCAATATACTATGTATAGAAAAGATAATCAAATATCATTTTTGTAGGGGCAAAAATTAAAACGGCTAAATTGATTATGAAAATTTTTAATATAATGTTTAAAACATTAAAGCATTATAAATCTCTGTCAACCATTATACAAAGGCTTCTTTTTAAAAGTTATAAAACATGTTATACATGTAAACACTTATATGCTCAGGTTAAAAAAAATGGGGAAAAATATATGTTTATGTCTTAATGCTACATTAATAGAAACACTGTACAAGTCGCCAATTATACATGGTAAGCTCAGTCTGGCCATTTATCAGCTAACAATTAAGAAAATTAACAAATGAAAAAGGTATACAGATGGGAAAAGAAGCTACAGCAGATGAAATACTAACAGAATTCTGAGACCAGAAATTGGAAGCTGATGAACAGACCAGACAAAGCTGAAACTCAACACAGTGGGAGCTAGGGAGGAAGCCATCAGTGTATAGAACCCTGAAATGTTTCCGGGTCTTAGAGGAACCAGGAGCTGTGGAGATGAACATGCAAGGGTGGGACCATGTGGGGGACCTGGAAGGAGCTTCTGGCTTCTAGCTTTGGAATGACTCAGCTCTGGCCATTTAAGCCACTTGTGGAGTGAACTAGCAGATCAAGGATCTTTCTAACTCTCCTTCTATCTGTAAAATCTGATCTGCCTTTCCAATAAAAAAGCACACACCAAAAACCAAACAACAAAAAAGCAGAGGTGTGGGATAAAAGTGCACAACGTGCAGTGAGACCCAGATGTGATCCTCCAGAACTGCAAGACCCCTCCTACTAGTACAGCTCCCCCAAAAGGAAAGTCAAGTTTTAATGCTTCAGGCAGGAAACAGGAGAGTCACTTAAGTATGAGCAACACAGTCACAGAACACTAGACGTTTAAAGAAAGCTTCTATTATGAAAGTTCTCAGAAAAAAAAAAAAAAAAAAAAAAAGGAATGTGACCGAGGCACCAGGAGCAAGAAGGAACAATGCAAGCAGCAAGGGCAACATGAAAGACAAAAACAAAGAAAAAGCCTGATTTCCTTCTGAACAAACGTGGCACCCACAAAAAAGCAGGATGGTTCCGAGGGAAAAAATGATGGTTTAACAAAATCTACCAGGAATTAGAATGAAATGGAATAAAATCATGTTTAATCTACTGCAGAGGTATTCCAGAATAAGACAGAAAGAAACAAGAATAAGGGGAAACAGAATTTTTCAGAACTGGGAGAGACAAATGTTTGGATGAAAAGACTTAATACCCCTACAGAAAGCATAGCATCATGATTTTTTGGGGGAAAAAAAAAAATCAAAGAAGACAACTCCAGGAGGTAACAGAAACTATACACAAAGAAGCAAGAATGTCAATGGCAACTTCCTGAACTCAATATGAAAATAAAGCAATGTCTTCACAAATGTGAAAGAAAAGGCAAAGTTTCCAACCTGTAATTATATATCTCTTCAAACACCCAAATGAGAATGAACATAAAGTCAAACCTGAGATCAAGTTATACAAATTAATGATGATGAAAACCATAATACTGATCAATACTGACTGAATGGAGTCTTTTCCAATGATTTAACATACACTGATATATCAATCTTCATAATCATCTGGGGCATTATAATTCTCTTTTTATACATGAGGAATTGTACCTAAGATTCAAACTCAAAGCAGAATCTGGACCCACGTAGCATTCACAGGACTCTGGTTCTATGCCTTTAACCATTATAGCACGCTGTACAATGTTCAACATAGATCACAAACTGGCTTATTTTCTTAAAGCTGTGTTAACTTTTGACAGATAAAATTGACAGAAGAGACTCAAACGGAGCAACTCCAGTCTGACATTCTTGAAGATCAATGTATTTCAGATGACACCTAACTGTTATCCTGTTAACATAGCCCTCCTTTTTAAAATAAGATTAATTTCTTCCAACAATGAGATCACAGCATTTCTAAAGGGAGTACACTGTCCTCCTGACCCAGTGGAAGGAGTGAAGTTCAAATGGTTGGTTCCCTTACTCCTAACAGAAAGTATGTCTCTATCACTTGATTCTCTTTATTGCTTATGGTTTGAATGTGCTTCCTCCAAAATATATGTGTTACCTGTGTGAAAGTATTTAGAATTGGGTCAATTTTTTTTTTAAGAGAAAACAATCAGGGGCCAGTCTTGGCAAGTTAAGCTGCTAACACTTGAAGTTCTGACTGCTCCACTTCCAATTTAGCACCCTGTTAATGCACAGGAGAAGATGGCGGATAAGTACTTGGGCCTCTATCACCTTGTGGGACCAGGATGTAGCCTGGCTCAGCCTTGGTTGTTACAGGCACTTAGGAAATGAACCAGCAGACAGATCCCTGTCTCCCCACTTCTGTCATCTAATGTTCAAAAGGGGAAAAAAAAGCAACCAGGCCATGATAGCTCTACTCTAGGAAACAGGACTCAACCCCCTGAGAAAACCAAACCTGCCAACACCTTCATCCTGGACCCTGCAACTCCAGAAACGTGAGGGAAAAATTTCTATTCTTTATAAATCATAGCAGCACAAAATAGACCAGCCTTCCATAATTCCGTATCTTTGATGCTGCAAAGGTAACATTTCATCAAAAATTCCAACCACATGTAATGCCCAGTTTCAACAAAAGAAATAGCAACCTGAGGGCACTTCAGAAAGTCTATGGACAATGGAATTAAAAGTTTGTTTTGGGGCCCAGTGTGATAGGCTAGTGGATAAAGTTATTGTCTTGCTTGTGCTGGGATCCCATATGGGCTGCTGATTCACATCCCAGCTGTTCCACTTTCCATCCAGCTCCCTGTTTGTGACCTGGGAAAGCAGTCGAGGATGGTTTAAACCCTTGGGACTCTGCACCTGTGTGGGAGACTGGAAAGAAGCTCCTGGCTTCAGATTGGCTCAGCTCAAGCCATTGTGGCCACGTGGTGAGTGAATCAGGGGACTGAAGCTCTCCGTCTTTCCTCCTTTCTGTAAATCTCCCTTTCCAATGAAAATACACAAATCTTTAAAACAAAAGTTTATTTTGAAGCAAAGAATTGAAATTATTGGTTTTTTGATCATGTATTTCCATGAACTTCTTGAAGACCCCTGCCTCTGATATAATACCAATATTTTTCCAACAAAGCATTAAAATTCATCTTGCCTGGCCAGAGACTCAAGAATAAGGTGCTATGGGAGTGGAGAAAAGGGAAAGGTCTGTGTCGGACATTTCTGGTACCTTGAACCCTTATATCCGCTGAGCTCTTTGTCCATATCCAACTCAGGAGTAGACTCGATGATTGCCTGAACCTCTGATTTCTCCTCATTTTCAACAGAGCCTTAGGAAAGGAACAATGAAATAAACAACACATATACAAGGGAACAAAGGGTTCATGCAAAAGTGGAATTAAAAGGTAAGTCTACTTTTGTGCAACCAGTTCTTAGTAGGCATTTTCACGAACATTTTTAAAGATCTCTTATACATTTAGTTAATAGTCAATACCGGAAACTGATCAATAAATTACCAGAGAAAGCTTTCATTTTTTTTTCTTGGAACACACAGTACAGGATAACCAAGACCTTGCTTTCATTCCACTTGAAAGGGTGAACTACAGACAAAATGAGGACTAAGAAGTTATTTCAGACTCTCTAACTTGCCAGTTTCCAAGATTTTTCTTTCAAAACTTCATTACTTCTTCTACCCCCATTTACAAATAAACACAGCAATTACCTGTTTTATCTGTCTAAAAAGCAGACCACCCTCCAAAAGATGCAGTTTCTCATATCCCCACCATTAGGGTTTACTGAATACTTTACCAATAAGCCAAGAATATTTACCTGTAGACACATTTCTAGTTTCTTGGGCTACCTGTACTTCAATGTGCTTGCTTATCTCTGACTTAGTTGGTGTATCTGTAACCTTCACAGATGCTTCGTTGTCTTCTTTCAAGGGAGTATCAGTAGGAATTGTTGCCACATCTGAATTAGCTGTTGATGCTGGAGTGGTAACTTTAGATCCACTTTGGCTAACATCAGAAAGTTCATCCTATAAACAAAAACAATTAAGATGAAATCTTTAATCAAATAACTTATTCTAAATGATTTTATAAATTTGTCTAGACAGTTCTAATTTTTAAAAAAGACAACAACCAGATTTCCTCTCTAAATTATTTGCAAATAATTGGGAAGTATAAAAGCTAATCATATTTCCCCAGATACTACAATTTTTCTAAAAGGAAGATTTGCAAATAAAAGTGCATCAGAGGTATTAGCTATAACATTAAATATTAATGCCAACATGAGGTTCTTTTTTTAAGATTTATTTTTTATTGCAAAGTCAGATATACAGAGAGGAGGAGAGAGAGAGAGAGAGGAAGATCTTCCGTCCAATGTTTCATTCCCCAAGTGACCATAATGGCCGGTGCTGCGCCGATCCAAAGCCAGGAGCCAGGAGATCCTCCAGGTACTAATGTCATCAGAACAACAGCCAGGAGCCCTGAGCGGTCCTCAGAAACAGAAGAACAGCAAGCTTCCTTCGGGATTTGGGAGAGGAGCTCTCTCTGGCCCTTACTTAGTTCCAGCTTTGGATCCCCACAATCTCTTACAATGACCATCAGGGTCGCTCCAGAGCACCCCCAAAATTAGAACAGATAGACAGAGACCAAAAAGGAAAGCATAGAACAGACAGGAAACAGTCAGCTTGGACTCACATATACCTTACTAGGGAGGACACAAAGATTAGTTACTCCTCACTAAGGTATTGAAGATTTCTCTGCACACCCCTCCTAAAACTGTTCTGTGCCTCAAGTGTTAACACATGCCTTATTAGAGTTATAAGCCTGTTTGGACTATCCAAAAATTTGCCAAGTTCAGTAATCTTTGCTTTGATGTATACTCCACTTAAAAATGAAAGTGATATGCTTTTGTTTAGCTTAAATGGCCTACTTTCACATTTATTTTATCCTCACTTATTTTATCCTATACAAAAATTCCACTCTTCAGAAGCCTAGACTATAACTTACAGCTAAAAATAGGAAAGCCAGAGTTTTCTGTTTCTGATAAGCAGTGATGATGAAAGCACGGAGATCCACCAAGACTGGATTCAGAAAGCCCGAGGGGATATCAAGTATACACGCTTATCTTTACTGGGAGGAAGCTACTCTTTAGAGCCACTGGAAAAATAAATTAGTTTGAGGTCAGTCTTGGGCTTGCCATTTACTTCCTAAATAAGAACCAAAAAGAGAAACTACTTCTTCTTCCTCTTCAGTACCCCAGCTCCTCACTCCCCATCAAGTCTGGTTTATTTTCACCATAATTTTTTTTTTTTTACTTAGTAACTTATAATTCATAATACAAAGTATTTGGCCAAAGTCCACATGCATAATAAAGCCTGCATTCATTATGGACCCAAGAGCATAAAATAAAATAACCCAAGAAAAAATAAATAAATAATGCAAGAGACCTGAACTTGAAACACAAAAAGGATTATGATACCTCAGGGAGCCCTATCAAAGAAAGGAAAGATTAGGACCTATTTGGAAGAAAAGGTTTTTTAATTTGTCCTAAGCTACAGAAATTAAATGCAACTTATTTATCTGTAACTTACTTCCCTTTTATACTTTTGCCACACAAAAATGTTTTACAACATTGAACTCCGCTCACTATGGGCTGCACCGTTGACTACTGGACACAAGGATCACAAAGAGAAGGCTCTGAATTTTAGGGTAGTGGTTTTCAAAAGAGGCACTTCTCCTCCACTATACATATATATGTCATCTATTATTTCACCCTGTGGCATAACTTTTTGTTCTAACAGACTATCAGTTATGGCCCCACTACAGAAAGTAAAGACCCCCATCAAGGACAATTTGCTCCTTGGCTCCAACATAGTATTTTCCTAAATGGAACACTTAGGATATGTTTTGAGAGAACTGCCCTCCTTCACCTGAAATAGGGTAAAAAAGGGGAACAAACGTGATTATATGTATTTGTCTGACTTTAGATTTGAAGGTTTTAAGCCAAGACAAAGTAAAAATCATACTGAGAACAAGGAAGCAGCTCAGTGCTCCCCACTATAACATGCTTGTAAAGCCTTAATTTCCATTGCTTCTTCTCCAGGTAAAAGTGAGTCTCTAAAACAGTGATTCCTAAACTCTTAATTTACTATGACATAAAGATCACAGACTTTTGTGGGTCCATGTATTTTTCTGGAAAGTTAGCTATAATGTGACTTACAGATAAAAGCTGAGAATCAGAATTTTAGACACATTAGGTAAAATCTGCCTAGGTGTGAACATTGCTGCAGGTCCCAGAGAATTCCTATTACGAAGGAAAAGTATGAATGTCTATCCTAACATGTCCACTGCTGTTGCACATAGCTTAAGCTCGGATCTAGCCAGTAGGACAGTCTCACCTTCTGCAGGCACTAGCTGAGTAAAGCTGCAGGTGCCCGGGCTGGGCTGTCCACTGGAGAGTGACACCCTGGGCTGTCTCCAGGGAAACAGACCAGAGACGGACAATCTTTCCTGCAGAAGTCGGTGTCACCAATTTTTTTAACTTAGATTTGGATAAACGGAAGCAGGCAAAAATTCCACAATCTTTCTTATTTATTTAAAAAAATGTGTACTTTAGGACAGTATTTACAGATTAAACTATAGTAACCTCTATACAGCATGTAATTTTCTTTTGCATTTCAATGAATGACATTTAAGTCTTCCAAACTGAGTATTCAATGTCATGAGAATATAACGAATAGCTGAGAAAGTAACCAAGTTAACTATTTTTGTTTACTTTTTATAAAGTTTTGGAAATACCATTCTCACAAGCTGTTCTACAGCCCTCAGGGGTTCAGGACTGTTGCTGACCTAGCAAAGGGAAAGATGTTAAAAGAGAAACATTCCGTATTTACTAGGCGGTAGCATATTCCTGTCTTTGGCTTATACTACATTTCTCAGGACACAGATCCATGTGTCTATTTATCTACTGGGTTTAACATAAGGGTTTGGGGTTGTTTTTGTTTAACAATCACCTTCTTTAAGACTTCAGCTTAAGTGAGACGTGAAATGATATTCTGCATCAGAAGTTAGCCCTCGGATCAGTCTCACCTCACGCTGTTTGATGCACAGCCATCCACCTGAGCTTTTTTCTGCTCACACAATTCTGTTTACGATGCTCTCCTTTCTCCCACCAACATTTCTGAAACTATTAAGTAACGTTAATACTTGAAGGGTGGCCAAGACTGAAATGATTTCCTTTAAAACATCTATTTATTCGCATTTTTTACTTCTATGTATTTTCTTTCTCTATGGGAAAGTTTTTCTCCTAAATGTAAACCCACACCAAGTTTTCAAAACTCCTGGTCTGGAAATTCATCAAAATGCTTTTGAAAGGCTGTTGGCCCTTCAATTCCCTAAGAACAACAACAAACAAAACCCCTTACAAATTAACAAGGTACAATTCAGTATGGAATCCAGATTACCTCTCCATTAACAAGCACTATATCTGTCAGCTTTGTTGGGGTAAAACTGACAAAAATGGCACAGCTTAATCGTACAACTTGCTGTTTTGATATACGTATATACTGTTGAAATAAGCACCACAACCAAATCAACAAACACACCCAGCACCGCATTCTATGCATGTCTGTGGTGAGACCAAGCAATACTTGTTTAATTCTGAAGTCCCATTATCTTTAGCCACTCTCAACTATTCATCAAAAACTAGGTTAAAATTTGAGCGGTTCTCTCTGTAAATGCAGAAAGACTGTCGAGCTATATTGTGAAATGAAAAGGAAAGCACGCCATAGGAAAATATTTGCAGCACAAACCCACTTATTTTAAAAAGACTCTGCGTAGGTGTCACTGTGCACATGGAAACAGTCTGAAGGGTGTCTACACTATTTATAATGGCTGGGGGAGGGGTAGAAGGCAGCACTGGAAAAGCTTCTATTTTTACTCTATATTTTTCAGCATTACTTTATAAAATTATGAAACAATAAAACTTTTTAAGAGAAGTTACTAAGCCTATTTTACAAAATAGGTTTTCTTCTGGACACCTTAATATTTCTAATATATATAGCATTGTGTCTAAAACAACAACCATTAATAAATACATTATATATTTTAAAGATTTCTTTTATTTTCATCGGAAAATCAGACATACAGAGAGGAGAAGATACAGAGAAAAAGATCTTTAGTCTGCTGGTTCACTCCCCAAGAGGCCACAATGGCTGGAGCTATGCCAATCTGAAGCCAGGAGCCCGGAGCCTTTTCTGGGTCTTCCACACGGGTGCAGTGTCCCAAGGCTCTGGGCTGTCCTTGACTGCTTTCCCAGGCCACAAGCAGTGAGCTGGATGGGAAATGGAGCAGTGGGACTCAAACTGGCAGCCGTATGGGATGCTGGTGCCACAGGGCAAAGGATTAGCCTGCTATGTCACAGCACTTTTTACAGTACTCTGAATAAGTTAGCAAGGGTCGATGGAGAAGGACTAATGCTACATTGTGGGGCAGAGGAAATGCAAGAGCCATCTTATGATGTCAGTAAAGAAGAAAAAATGTACTTAAGGATGGAATGTATCAGAAGAGTCCAGGCCCCCACTTGGAAGAGTTCTGAATGTTTGTAGATGGAACAATGTGAGAAATCAAATAAACAATAGGACCGGTTGTCCCACAGGATAAAATATACATCCAGTGAGTCCAAATTACATATCAGCCTTTCCTTATAGAAATCACTAACTGTCTGGTGGAGAAATCTGACACCTTGCAGCTGAACAAAGTTATTAAAGTTATTACCACTAATAAAATATGCTGACATCATAGTATTTCTTGCAATGCATTAAAAAAAGTATTCTGGGCCCGGCGGCGTGGCCTAGCGGCTAAAGTCCTCGCTTTTAACATGCCGGGATCCCATATAGGTGCCGGTTCTAATCCCAGCAGCTCCACTTCCCATCCAGCTCCCTGATTCTGGCCTAGGAAGGCATCTGAGGATGGCCCAAAGCCTTGGGACCCTGCTCCCGCATGGGGAGACCCGGAAGAAGTTCCTGGATCC